TATGAGTCTTTTAGGGAGCTTACAAAATGTTACAAATTGCTACTTTTTTAAGCGATACAAACGTGCGTTTTATATTCGCGCGACTGCATTGCGATTGTATAGCTGCTTTTAGTAAAGTGTGTGTTTTGCTACTATTTTGATGCTGCATCGCGACTGAATCGCGATTGTATAGCTGCAATAATTCTCAATGAAATCCCTTACAAGTTACAAATAGAGAAAAAAAAATAGAGAATACTTACAAGAACTTTTGAATATCGACTTCGCACAGCTCATCATAAGGTTTGTATGTTTCTAACAAAGGAGTAAAGACTTTTTTGCAGTAAGTATTTTACTAAGATGACTGACCGTAAAGCGCGTCGTAAAATCCGTCGTAACGTTACTCGTCTTGCCCGCAAGAGCTCGTCCAGTCGCAAGTGCACTCCTCAGGGCTCGGGCTCAAGTGCTCAGCCATTAATTGAGTGGCCGAACGAAAACCTGCCGATTGGCAATCCGGCCACTAGCGCTTATTGCGGCCCTGTCGAGGGATTAACGTGATTAGGGTCGGGCTAAATATGTTATGAAAGGTCTTCTTTATTACGAGTAGCTTACATACCTGTTTCTTTTGGGTCGTAACAAAATTATCAAAATTTTACAGAAGTTAGTGAGTCGATATTTAGCTTTTTAATTAAAAGGGGGTGGGCTTTTGGGTACCTACTAATGACGGAATCCTGAATTCTAGGTGACATAATAAACTGGAAGAGTAAGTAAAGTTAAGTAAGCACAAAGCGGTTCTCAAGAAATGAGAGACATAAACATTGTTTCTTCTAGCAAAACAATGTCAAAGATTTTTATACTACAGGTGTATTAGTTATGTTAACTTATCGGTGGCTACATAAAATTGGGATTATTCGTAAAAAACTTAAAATCCGTCGTAACGTCGTAAGCGTTATCCGCCTTGCCCGCAAGTGCACTCCACAGGGCTCGGGCTCAAGACTGTGCCATTAATTGAGTGGCCGAACGAAAACCTGCCGATTGGCAATCCGGCCACTAGCGCTTATTGCGGCCCTGTCGAGGGATTAAACGTGATTAGGGTCGGGCTAAATATGTTATGAAAGGTCTGCGTTTTCTTTATGATTTCCTTTCGGTAAGTACCTACGTACTTACAAAATTATTGGAAGCCAAAAAGTTCATTGCACTTCTTAAAGGTGATGCCCGTTTTCACCATCAATCCCTAATTTTTAAGTGGCCCTTATGGTAATACATGACAGGAATTTTGTTTTCAAAGCGGTCCCTTAAAATTAGGGAGGGATTGATGGTGAAAACGGACAGAGTTTCTTCCGCCACTTCTCAGCACCATCTCATCATGTTGTCCCGAAGTGGTAAATAAGCTTTTTGATTTGATTTATCAAAAGGATAGATAGATTTAATAGAAGATGAGAAAAGAGCTTGGGATCCACTACCGCACTGGTGTAATTCTGTCCCAAGTTCTCTAGTGTGAAGTGTCATACCTAGCCTTTTTAACTAACTAGGTACTGAAATACCCAATGAATTATTTTTGTGGTGTGATTCTAGTTATCAAATTAAGATTGCCTCTAATGGAAGTAGGATTGTCTAACTAAAGCAATACATGCTGAGTTAAAAAATATGTCTATATTAATTCTACTACCTACCGAATTCTTCTATGTTAAGTGATTTTTACACGCGTTACAAACTCAAGAGGTGCTCCAATAGGCTAGTTTCCTAAAAAAAATTTTTTAGTCCGTAATGTTTAATATCAAAAAATATTGGACACATATAGTTTTATTTGTCAATCTAACAAATAATTACATAGTTATGGTGGGTTGAAGTTCCGCACGACGTCACAACGTGCGGCACTTTTATGCAAGCATTGACGTCACGGGCCTCTTCTTATGAACTTTGGCGCGCTTTATCTCTTTAAATTTTCATTAGTTTGAAAAAGTGAAAAATACGTGTAGAGTATTTTTTGATAAGTTAACTGACGGACTAATTAAAACTCTTGCTTTTTGACCCAGGAAACATCCCTATTAAGTTAACTAGGTTTCTACAACGTTTGTAGAACTCAAGGTAAATATACCTTTGAACTACTCCGAGTTAAAGGCAGCGCAAACTAAAATACTTATGTGATGTACAAACTATAAACGCCTGAATGCTTGTGAAAGTTACAAAACTTTAGGTTAAATTACTAACTAGCTGATCTTACATATTACTTAATTACTTAAGCGCCTGGCATACAGCGCGCGTTTCAGTCAAAAACTTCCATAAGCTACACGCTCTACTGAGTAATTTGAATTAACTGTCGATATTCGTTTAGATTTCAAATTGCAAGCGAAACGACGACCATGCCTCGACCTCGAGAACCCGAAAAAGAAAACATTGACATATTTTTGGCAATTTTAATTCTGAATGAACAACCTCTAAGTACACCTAGATTTATACTCTTAAGTCTTTCGCTCAAAGATAAGTACGTTTTCATAAAAGTTTTCAGTCGTTGCCTCGTGCCGGACTCACGCCAGCTGTGTGACAGAGGCTCTATACTAATGCTAATAATACCTTTTGTTATGTTGGAGGGATAGCCACGCACGATATTCTACTGCCAAAATTAAAACTATAATGAGGANTTTGGATAATTCAAAAAGATATATCTTTCTTATGTCTTAAAGATTAACGTAGATACTAGTTTTATTGAATTTTCTACAACAGTACTGATCCTCATTGTAATAATGAAAAAAACATAATAATCGATCGAACGTCGATATGTTTAATTACGAAAAAACACATCGAACGTAAAAATGATAACGTTCAATAATATTATTACATTGAAATAATATTTTAACTTCATGTAACACGTTTTAAAAACTAGTTATCATCATTAACACATTGCAAACCCAATAATCCACGTGCATATAGCGTATCCAATAAAGCTAGTCATATTTCAACGCAGCAAAATTAAATTTGCAAGCAAACGTTCACAAAAAGCGTGCCGTAGACAAACTTCCGCCTATGTTATAGTAAAAAGAGAAAAGCCAGTTAATTTTAATCATTAAAATGTTAGTAAATAAAGTAACAATAGAATAATACGCTGCGAACTTTTGTCGTTAGTAAGGTGCCTAGCCTGTCTAGCGCGAAATCGATGCTAAACTAACTACCTATCAATATTAAGTAAACTTATTTCTTTCAACTTGCCACAGTAGAAGTTGTGTGGTTGTGGATGGATCGTAAATATTTTTATCCAAGAACCCTAATGCGTAGTATAGGTAGGTACCTATGCGTGCTTATTAATATCAAAACACAGACGTATGTGTTGTTGTCCGCATAGGCGTTACATCGAAAAAACACGTAAAACGTGAGCGCCCGCACGGCTGTATGGAAAATCATGAAAACGCGTAAAACGTGTGCGACCGCACAGGGTGTTGCGATCGAAAAAACACACACCCGTATGTGTTTTCAGCAGTGATCGTGCTAAAGCCTCTTCAGAAATTCTCCCCAAATAATGGTGCTGCAAGCTTTTATCTCTGTCTGTCTTGCTTTCACGCCTAAACCACTGAACCGATTTTGATGAAATTTGGCATAGAGATAGTTTGAGTCCCGGGAAAGGACATAGGATAGTTTTTATCCTAGTTTTTGATACAGGGCGTGCGCGATATAGGTTTTCTGTGCCAAAAAATTCCACGCGGGCGAAGCCGCGGCGCGGGCGGAAAGCTAGTAATCCTAGACTGCATCTCACTTAACACCAGGTGCGATTGCGGTCAAATACCTGCCTTGTCTAGCAAAAAAAAAATCTAAATGCTTTACAGTGAAAGCGTGTATGATGTGATTTTGTCTTTGTGTGAATAATTCGCAGAATTCATTTACAAGTTTTTGTGCATTCACTTCAGAGATTGCTGTTAAATTATTCATCTGAACGTTGCGTCTTATCACATTCTTCTTAGAATGGCGATTACATGCTCGAGTGAGTTTTCGGTTCTCATTGCCCTGTGTCTTTGACCAACAAATGTTCGAAACTTCTGTCCTGAATTATTAAACAAGTCCCTATTGTATCGTAACTGTGCGTTCGAACCATTCAGCAAGTTACGTGGGTTTAGCTCGTATGACGTTACATTGCTCGCCGAATGCACTCAGGTAGAGAAAATTAATTTTGGGGGGAATTCATTAAACCAAACTTAAAATATAATTTTGGTGGGCTTTAACTAAAACTACTCATCTAACTTTTAATTAAATGGGAATGAAATTGACGACAATACCAATAATAAATAGAAAATCCAGATTACCAACTAAAATAATAACATTTAGAAGTGTGATATTATAATGATATTTTGCAATATTAGAAGTACTTATTATTATTCTGTGACATTAGCATTATTTATTATCTGGTTTACTTGTCTTACAAATTATTAACTGATGTATGGATGGTTCTATTCTTGCTATTGTGACTAATTTACTTACCCCCTACTAATAAAACTTATGTCCTTTTAAAACAGTGTTCAACAACTGTGTAACTTTTTATTAGTAAGGGGGTTTGGGTCAAACCTTGAAACTAAGGTGATCATACTATTTTAAACCTTAATAAAAATTACCCTAAAATAGCCAGTGATCCACACGTCATCATGGGGTGGCCATGGTAAATAATCTTCTATTGGATTTTATCCAAACAACAGCAATCTCACTATGAAATAAAGAAAAATATTAATTTGATACCAACAATATAAACTTAATATAATATTTGATTATGTATAATATTTATTTAAAAAAAAAGTATATAAGTAGTATATCCGTTAAGCTAGCACCCATAACACAAGCATTAAGTTGCTTACTTTGGGGCTAGCTGACGCTGTGTGAAATTGTCCAAAGATAATTTATTAACTCTACTTTATAGCACACATTTTTTCAGTGCATTATTTACAGAGGCTTGAGGTCTGTAAAATTGTTAGAACTCACAACAATTGAGAAACTGCCTCTAATGAGCGATGTAATATGAATAGGAAATTAATTAATAAACAATCTAAATCTAATCAACTTTATTTTCAAATGATACATTTAGATTGCAATATATCTTTGGGGCAATTCATTATGTATATTCCTAGAAAATAAACCATTCATTCCCAGGCCCGGTGAAAAATATCTTCTTAGGACTTCTCTTACTTCTGCTACGGTGATCGCTGGGACTCCTTCGTACCCGGATTTAATATAAACAGCATTGTTTAAGCTTACAGGGTTGCAGAAATATCCCCCCTCGAATTTACTAAAAGGGTCACCGCTCTTCTTCTTAGCGTCTTGACGAATAAAAAATACTCCATCGACAATCTCGGCAACAGTCTCATATGCCAAGAAACTCAGCACCTCTAATGCTGGGATTGATATTTTTAACTCCCTCGTAGGATTCACCCACACTTCCAATTTGTTGAAACTTTTACTCACGTGGTTGGAACGGAAGGATTTACACCTCGCTTTGTGGTACGCCTCATATTTCTCAAAGCTCATTGACTCTGTGATCTTATCTGCCCGGACCTTCCGCAAATAATCAATTGCATCAAATTTAATCTCCTCCACTTCATCTGCCTCATCCAACTCCTTTATAACGTCAATATGTGTCCTCCTTTTCTTTGAGTCTTTGGCTTCATCCAATATTAAGTTACTAATTCCAGGATCTGCAGCAGCCCGATTTTTATCAATTTTATCCAACTTTATTTGGTAATCGTGTAACCTTTTTAACTTCAAAGTATTCTTACGGACCAAGTAGATTAGGTCGTAATTCGATATGTTCTTGCCTCCTCGCATGAAAGAGTAGTTCAGGGCCTCTTGAAGCATAGCTCTGAGCTGCTGAAGAACTATGTTTTCAACTAATAACACGGTCGCAGCGTTCGGATTGGGATTGTCTCCAAATCCGTGCATCATGTTGGAAATTTCTTTCTGGAAGTTCACAACCACTTCACCTTTCAGGTCAGTTGAAAAGGTGTATGACGACGTCATTTTATTTAAATCTTAGATAGTGGATAAATGTAGGAAATTAATATCTACAAACAAAATAAATAATTACCTACTCCCCCACGCAAATATTTTTGCTACTTTTTGACAGCTTTGGTTGACATTGACAGTCAGTAAATCTCATCGGTGGTTGCCTAGCAAAAGTAATGCAATTTATAAACCTGATAACTTTCCTAAAAGTTTAAAAAGAACAACAAAAGCCACATTCCTGTGTGAATAGGAACGTTAGAATGGTCCGAAACGTGCTAAACACTTTTATAACATATTTTTTTTTATAATATTTATTTACACAATTCGGACAATCAAAATCAGCTGATTGTCAATTTTGGTGATAACAACTGTCAAGGTTGCAAAATATTACGCAAAAAATTGAAAATGTGTGTAAAAAAACTACATCACATCCATTTAAATTAGTAAGATAGCTGTGGATTCTTAGTAACTGTAAACACCATTGCCAGTTTGAGTCGAAAACTTGATAAGTCCGAAGTAACCATAGCCTCACTGAGTTTCGTAACAATTCCGGCAACACATTGAAATTTCAAGAAACCAGGAGATTTTTACTGCAAAATTATGAGTTTCCGGCGTATACTTTATAATACTACTATAAGAAGTCCATTACTCCACCATTTGAGAGCATTAAAGTGTTGGTCTTGCGGCAAAGAGGTTAAGTTCGTTTCTAACTTGTTCTGTGGAACTTGCAATGCCTTGCAGCATCCTAACAGCCACGATAATTACTTTCAACTGTTAGGAGTCAAAGAAACGTACGATCAGGATGAGACAGAGCTGGCCAAAAGATACAAGGACCTGCAAAAGTATTTGCATCCAGACAAATTTGCTACCAGGTAAGCAAAATTTAACTATTTTGAAAACTATGAAAAGAAAAGAGACAAAAAGTAATAAGAAATGTATTACATAAATTAAGAAGATATTTTTAAATTTATTCGAGAATAAATTTTATAATAATATGGTTAAAGACACTTTATTTCTCATAAGAATACAATTGATTCACTTACTGAGAAACTAACATTTTAATACATTTTTTATAAGCGACACGAGCTTCGCTAAAAACAAAGAAATAATATCACTAAACTAATATTTCATAAAAGACGGTAGTCTTAAAAAACCCAACCAAACAGTCACAGCACGGACCATTCCCTGCGAGTGTAGAAACTTGAACACGAATGCACGAAGCATTGAAAATGGATGCGGCATTGTTGGCATTGTCACGGCAGAGAGAGACATGATTAAATTATTACATTTTTTTTTTAATATTTTATCAGTTTCTAAAATATTGTTCTTGTTTTTTTTTTGTTGATTTAATTATTAATTAAAATGATAACATGATGAAAATGATAATACATTAACTTAAAATGACTTAAAAACTAAAATTTAAAAATTACTAATTATAAAAACTATTTACTAATTATAAAAACTATTTACAAAATAAATTTAAATGCATATTCAGGAATACTGTCCATTGATTGGATTAAAAAATGGTCTGAAAGTTTTTTTTATTATTTCAGAGACAAAAAAGAACAAGAAATATCAGCTGAATACTCTTCCCTCGTAAATGAAGCATACAACACTCTGCTTGAACCTCTGGCTAGAGGTAAGATAAAGTTATCTTTCTTTAATAATCTAAAAATATAAACACAGGATAGTTTAAATCATCATACAGCATTCAAACTAGCTACTTCTGAAGTGATTGTATAGATGTTAATGTACATTGCTATTCTAATCCATGATTTAAAACAGAGCCCCAACTATTATTTTAAAATGAAAACTGCATAAATAAGCTTTCACAACAATGTTTTATTGTTTTCATGAAATTATTTAATAATCTATTAATGTTAAAAAATTTAAAACTTTTGTAAAAAAGTTTATTCATTGTCATCATTCTTTTACAGGCATTTACATGTTAAAACTAAGAGGGAAAGAGATACCAGAAAACACAGAAGTTGACAAAGGATTCCTCATGGAGATCATGGAGAAAAATGAAGAGGTGGAGAATGCTGATACTGAAGAAGAAATCATGAAATTAAATAAAGAAAATAAAAAAGTCATAAAAGATCTACAAAAACAGTTGTCTACAGCTTTCTTTGATGGAGACCTGAAAAGAGTCACTAAATTGTTAAGTATAATGAAATATTACACAAGCATAGACAATCAAATACAAGCTGTGATTAGAAGTAAAGGAATTATACGATAATATTTTTGTGAATAAAAATAGTTATATTTATAGGTAGGTAGTAAGTACGAAACCATATTATCTAGTAAATTCTGTAAAAAAACAAGTACCTACAAAAGGTACAGGCAGCTTAAATCTTAATTGCAGATTACGCCACTTATTTAAAAATTTAAATAAGTATGATCTTCCTGAAAGTTGTGCCTGTGTTTAGTAAAATGATAAAAAGTTCAAATTTTATTTGTTACAAATACAAATCATTTACTTGCATCACATGTGATATAAAAGTTATGCTGTGATGTGATTTAAAACTTTCATGTACCTACCTACTTACTTAAATTTTCTTATTATTGTAATTGTTGATAATTTGTAAAAATTTAAACCACGAATTAATGAATAATGTTACAGATATTACAAGTTTTTGATTTTGTACACCTTTGATTAGCATTGATGCATGTAGGTAGATCCTATTTTTGCCTTTTAAGTTTCAATAGATTTTCGATGGGAAAGAAATATCAGTTTTCTAGCTCCTAAATAATTATGTTGGTATGTATGTATAGTAAGTAGGCAATCGTAACAAAAAAAAACAAAAATACTAGTGTAATTAAAAAGAGTTAATAGAAACCCTGATGTTATTAGAAAAAACTTTTGTAATTAAGGCCCGTACCAATAACCCGGGGTCGCCCCAACGCGTAAGCCGATAGCTGTAAACCTAAATTACTAGAAACTAAAACATCAATTTATAACGAGTTCGCTAGCGTACCGCTCACTGTATGATTGATGTTCATAATATTCAACGACAGACTATTTGCATTTTACATACTGCGATTTACTGACTTGATACTTGAAATAAGTTGTGCCTGTTCTGTCGCCGATAAATTGGTATCTATGAATTTTAAACACGAAAGCTTATTTGTTACGCAAAAACTAGATAGGAGCCATAACTACTGGAATGATAATGTTTACCTAAGTAAAGCATAAACAGAAAAACTCAATAGCCTTTTTATCGAAAGGCAAACAGTTAAAGAGGGGGCAACAAACTTCGTGCGATCCGGTTTACTTACGGACGGACTGAGTAAACTGTAGGTACTTACCTAAGTAACTTTTAACCGTCAATTATCTTGGACTAAAAACGATGACTACTTAGGAACCAGTAATTTTGAATTACCAGATTTCAGACCTAAACAATGGTGTGAATATTTTGTTTATATGGCAAAAACCTACTTTTAAACCCAGGTTTCAAAGATATATCGATTCACCTAAGTAAAGCTTCTAAGCACTCTCTAAATGCGCTCACTACTTAGGTACTTACTCTCAATTCCCTTGCCAAAGTATCAATCCTTGAGGTCGGCGTATACAATAAGCTAACCATGATTCATGTTCATCGTGATAGGTGCGTTACATAGTACGTAGATCTCCAAGAAAGTATGGGATGGACGCGTTTGCGATTGATGTTACAGCGCATTTGAGAGTCAAGTGTTTCGGCATGTTGGTGTATGTGAATCTTATGTTAGAACCATGACTTCGGGATTTGTTTTAGTGTGCTTTGGGATTGTATTTTTGAATGGCGGTGAGTACACATTATTAGCAACTCTTATTACCCTTAGTCATCTCATCTAAGTAAGTAGGTCTTCTGAAATGTGCTTAGATTTATTAGCCAACTTTCTCAAAACGTTAATCAGTGTGTGTCTGTCTACTCACACACATCTCTAGTGAAATAACTGTTCCTACCTACTTCTAAGCTTAGTCCCAGTCTTTACCTACTAGGCTAGCTTGGAATAGAACCCGGGAAAATTGTTTTCTTTTCAAAAATTTTATAGATATTAAGTTTATTCAAAACTTACAACTAATGCCTAAATCCTATTTGGTTAAAGGTCTCAGGTTCGATTCTACCGTTAAATGCGATCATAGCATCAATAATACTTTAGGCATACTTACCCTAGAACCCTAGCCCTACCTCCAGCCAGACAAGACCACTATAGCCAAGTTTCCAAAAATTTCAGTGGACATGCAATTCTACAGAGTGGTCGGTGGTTTGCCGACCACAATCGACCAGTACCCCATCATAGCTCAACTCCTGCTGGACGTGTGGGGCACTCAGAACTTCATCCAGCACTGCGCTGGTGTTATACTGACTACGCGCCACGTGATATCCACTGCTCATTGCTTCCAGTTTAGCCCTAATACTGGTTTAAAGTGAGTACCATAGAAAATCACCGTTATTATTTTCCTCACCTGTATTTTTAAATCAGATAAAAGGACTTTATGTATTGTTTTGGTGAAAAAAAAACAGCGGACATCATAGGCAGAGACCACATAAAATCCTACAAATGAAAAAACGCACGAGCATGTAGCCCTACTGTCTACAATATTATTTACGTTGTTACTTTTAGCTATCTTTATTTATTTAGTACATAAGGCGAATTTAATGCTGTAAGGCATTTTCTGCCAGTTAACTTTGGGGCTAAAAAATATTTTGCTTACCTATCTAAATAATTAGTGGTAACTTACTTTTGAAAATGAGACGTTTTACAAGATTTAATAACTTCTTGTTTATTTTTATTACAGCTACAGTCAACCCAAGTTCTGGAAAATACGTGTGGGGTCCTCATACCGTACGAGAGGAGGTTCTCTGTACAACCTGAAGACAATCATTCCTCACGAGGCTTTCGATAAAAATTTCTACACCAACGATATTGCAGTGCTGGTGTTGTCTAAGCAGATAAAATTAAATTCAAATGTTAAACAGAGCACGATAATAAGACCTAACGTGGAAGTCAAGCCTTATTCGCTCTGCACTTTAGTGGGGTGGGGAACTGAAGAGGTATGACGTGTTTTAAGTTGTATGTACTTATATGAATTATTTATGTCACCTTTAATCTTGCTTAGCTTTTTTACTAAATACATTAGGCCCGTAAAACGAATTACTAANCCATCAATCTAATTTAAAAAAAACTTTGCTCGTGGATTGAACCCGCGACCTTTCGTTTGCCGGGTGACCAATTCTTTTATTTTACGCTGTACTGTATTAGGAAGGGGCCCACCTACAACGTAAACTGGTGTATTTTAAAGTGGTTTTATTTCAGGTTGGTGGACCGCAACCTAACCAACTGCACCACACAGCAATACTGACGGTAGATCAAACCGTTTGCAGAGATCGTTATAGTACAATCAATGCAGTCATAGCCGACAGCATGATGTGCGCTGGACGTCTCGACGTAGGCGGTATCGACGGATGCTTTGGTGATTCGGGAGGACCTCTCATATACCGAGGAATAGTCGTGGGCCTTGTATCTTTTGGGTACTCCTGTGGAGATCCTTACTTCCCCGGTGTCTACACAAAACTATCAAAATATACCAATTGGATTGTAAAAACTGTTGCGGCTAATAAAACTTAAGTTTTATTTCGTAATTTCATTTAAATAATCTTACACAAATAATAACAGTAACGGTAACGTTATTTGATTTAATTTTAATAATATGGCAACATTTTCTTTCACTGACATTCATTCATTCACTTGGCTGATCATAGTGATCATTCATTCACTCACTTGTCAAATATTTATTTGAGGGTTCCTTTGGAGAATATCGATTTTTTGAGAAAATTTCTAGATTATTTGCAATTAGTTTTTCATATTACAGTGAAATTATAAACGTATAATGGGCAAAAAGGGTGTTGTTGCTTTCATTAAGGACTTTTACTACGATCCCTTCAAATGGTAAGTGAACATAACCTCTGTAGGAGAATGTGGTTTAATTCTTTCTTAACGTTATGTTTCGTCAGAAATAAATAAAGTATAGCGTGCCGATGAAAAGCAAGCTGACTCATAGTTGAAAACAAAACTTCACACCCAAATGAAATGCATAGTTCACGTGCACATTATTTCTTTGAATCAAAGTATCACCTTCTCCAGTACCTAAAAAATTATAGCTTTATTTTTCTCCATGATATATTCAGTTTTAGTCATAAAAATCAGCAATAAATCACAATCGGATAACTTGAATTCATTCCATATTAATTGTTACAATTCTAATCATTATTAGTTTACGTTTTGACTTATCACTGAAATGCTTATTCTAATTATAGTTTTATGACTTTGTAACCATTTCAAATAAAATGCGTAAAGCAATATGCAGTGATAAGAACGTTTTGTTTGTGTTATCACATGTAGTAGGTAATCGTTGTTATTTAAAATTGACCTTTGTTAATCTTTCAGGTCAGTCGTGAAAAGCGTGGGATTCTTCACAGTCGGAGTTGTGATCGCTAGCGAGTGCACAGGCCTGGAATTAATGCCCGCAGTACCTCAATAAATACGTTAAAACTTATTTTAAGCTAAACAAGATGTTAAATTATATACTATTAGTTCTTTACGTGGGCGTTGTGCTTAGTGATGTGGAGAAACGACCAAATTTTGTTGTTATTCTCACCGACGACCAAGATGTCGTTTTGGGTGGTATGGTTAGTAATCACAACATAATGTTAAGTGACGAATAAATAGATTAGAGAGAAAAATGAAGTTTTATTTAATTTCAGACCCCAATGAAGAATGTGCACCAGTTTATTGCGAAAGAAGGAGTAACTTTTACAAATTCTGTAAGTAAATGAGGTTTTTGTTACTCTTCTTCTTCTTCTTCTTCTTTTCAGCCAAATGACGTCCACTGCTGGACTAAGGCCTCCCCCAAGGTTTTCCACAATGTTTTTTGTTACTCAGTTTATAATAATTATTTAAAATATATTGGTATGTGAAACCTACCTATTAGCAAACATTTTAGCTTAGAATTTATGATGCAACAGATGATTATTTATCTAACTTGATGATATTATTTCTGTTGTTGTAATGTTTGAGTTGGTGATAAATTTTAAAAGGTTTTGTTAGAAATTGAAAAGATCTTTATTGAGCAATTTCTGATAAGAATAGGTCCCCACAATTAATTATAGTGTGTCAATTTTGCCACCAATACATCACCTCTTGTTATTATTAAGTTATTTGAACACTATCTGCAGTACGTAACGTCTCCCATATGCTGCCCGAGCCGTGCCAGTCTCCTCACCGGTCTCTACATCCATAACCACCACACCCATAACAACAGCCTCCACGGCAACTGCTACGGACAGGAGTGGAGGGAGAACGAGCATAGAGTGTTCGCTAATGCTCTCCAGGACTCGGGGTATAATACTTTCTATGCGGGCAAATATATGAATCAGGTGAGTGATAATAAACCTTTTATTTGTGTTCAAATAGAGTAGATTAGGATGGACCACCCTTACTCTTCNCACTCTTCCTGTGGGTGTCGTATGGGACGACTAGAGGACAAATAAATATGCTAAACTCGAGTTTCTTACTTCCATTTGCCTCTGATTACTGACGCGACAGTAGTCCAATAGCATCGGTATCGGACTGAATCAAGACTCGTGGAACGCGGGTTCGAAACCTGCTGCCGCTGGACTACTAGTGGGGAACCTGAACCCACTCGTAACACAAGCATATTTTGCTATCCTCGAGGGGTTAGCGAGAATTTAAATCCTCCTGCAATAGAAACTAAAATGACTGAATATGAAAATTGCTCTGCCAAATGGTTTCCTATCGCGGTTTCGTTCGTTTCAGCCAAATGACGTCCACTGCTGGGTAAAGGTGGTGACGGTGAAGGTGACGTCCACTGCTGGGTATAGAAATCCTTGGGGGAGGCCCAAGGATTTCTATAACGACCGGTCCTGCGCTGCACGCTTTCAGGCTCTTCCTGCGACCTTCACCAGATCGTCGGTCCACCTAGTGGGAGGCTTGCCCACGCTACGTCTTCCGGCCCGAATCGAGATCCGCAAGAGAGAACTAAAGTGACCGAATTAGCTCGCAGTTGCTAAAATCAAGTGGCAGTGGGCGGGGCACATAGCTCGTAGATGGCCGTTATTGCAGTTCTTTCCGCGTAAAGTCTTTGGCTTTCAAGCTATCCTCAAATAACTCTGATCCCTATCGTTATTATAATTAGGCACAATAATTTCCTTTCCAGTACGGCGTGAAAGAGGCCGGCGGTCCAGAGGTGGTGCCTCGTGGATGGAGCGAATGGCACGGTCTGGTCGGCAACTCAGTGTACTACAACTATACCATGTCCAACAACGGTGTGCCGACGCATTCCACTGACTTGTACCTTACTGACGTTATCGTGAGTTTGTTTGATTGTTTTCTGTAGAAGGAGCATGAATAATTTATTATTATCGGTATCTTATGGTAAGGCCATCCGTCCGGGTTTCTCCGAGCGCCCGGGCGGGGTTTTATTTATTGTCCAAGTATGTATTGCCTGGGCCAATGCCGGGCGATGCAAACCTGTTGACATATCCGGATTCTGGGCTCCAAAATCCGGGGTTTTCACGCGTTTTATCCTGGTTGCCAAATTTTAGAGATGGCAACCCTATCTTATGGCATGGAAATCAGTTATTTTTAGGAAAAAAAACAGAGTGAGATTGTGTAATACGACTGATGATCTTCCATACTTGCGACCTTGCTTACACAAAGACAAGACATTTATCATGGAAGTAATTATACTTATTGTCTTGTCTTACGCTTAGTTATTTTGACAGAAATATTTTTTATTGCTTGACGATAACTACTTTAGGAGAATTCTACCTGCATTTTATAGGTGATTGTCCTCTGATTTTTTATCGCCCTACACTATAAAAAACTATTTTGATAATCACCTTGTTTGCCAGCCAAACGCCAATCTTACCCCAGACAACTTAAAATGTTATTTTGAGCAGTTTTGAGCAAAGAGGCCATAGCCCATAGGCCTTCCCTGAGTATACCTACATAGTTAAAGCAAAATAAACCTTATTCAAAGGTACTAAATTCCCTTTCAGCGTGACCTCAGCATCAGCTACATAGAGAACCAGACAGAGTCGCGTCCCTTCCTAATGGTACTGGCACCGCCCGCGCCGCATCAGCCGTTCACTCCCGCTCGGCGACATGAAGGCGCCTATAGCAACGTCACCGCCGTCAGGCATCCCAACTTCAACGTCGCTGTTCATGTGAGTTAAATATTTGTANTATGATGCAGTCGATACAGAGAACTTTAGTCCGGTCCCTCAGCACGTAGAATTTTGTCCAATGACCCAAGCTACCCATCCTTATCGCTCGCGCGTAGTTATATTGCTGTTGCGCTCGCACACTCACTGCTGCCGCTCGTCGCACAGTCGCGATAGCAATATTAAGCGCGAGCGATAAGGATAAGTAGCTTGGGGTCATTGGACAAAATTCTACGTGCTCCGCGACCAGACTTTAGACGGAGCCGCGTCCCTTCTTAATGATGCTCGAGGCGCCACGAGGGCGCCTATAGCAACGTCACCGCCGTCAGGTATCCCAACTTCAATGTCGCTGTTCATGTAAGTTATATTAAGGAACCAGAAGGAGCCGTGGCCCTTCTTAATAGTGCTGGCTCCATTCTATTTCCCTAGAAAATTATATGCCAAAAGTTTCTAAACTATTTATTAGGAATATAAATGAACATGATAAACAAACTGAACATTATTGTTTTAAGAATTTTTCCTTACAACAAAGGCAGAGCCATGTCCAATAATAGCCTTCTATTGTCTACACTAATATTATAAAGAGGAAAACTTTGTTTGTTTGTTTGGTAGTAATGAATAGGCTCAAAAACTACTGGACCGTTTTTAAAAATTCTTTCACCATTTGAAAGCTACATTATCCACGAGTAACATAAGCTAAATTTTATTTGGAAAAAAATAGGGTTCAGGGGTCCACGCGCGCAAAGCCGCGGGCGGAAAGCTATACACCGTGTTACTTTGCATTCTTGCCATATTCACAGAGATAAAAGTAGGGAACAATACCTATTATTTAAGATAAACAAGAGACTCCCATAAAGAAAGTACACTAAGATTTTAGTAAATTTGGTTTTTCAGTACAAATTGGAATAAACCCATTTTGTCTCGCACGTTCTACAGGTGCAAGTGGAATAAACCTAGTGGGCGTGGCCTAGTTCTTAATTTTATGGCTCTTATTTGTATAGCTTAGCCTACGAGAATGTCGGCCTGCTGTCACAGAAAGACCAAGATACGAGCTGAGATCGACGGGCCGATATTTTGTTACTGTTTGATTAAAAAAACACATTTAATTTATGTAAAAAAAAATCCCTCCAACTATCTGATGTTGTCTTTTGGTTTAGTTTTGACAGATCGTTAAAAACGGAACTATTTCTACCTCTCGTTCCCACCGCTGCATCTTCTGTGCACCCAGGGTCTACAGCTTGAACGCCAACAAAAGCCCAATCTTCATTGGTGGGCAAGTTTGTCCCAGGGGAAAGTTAAACTGTCTTTAGATCGCGCGTTAAAAGTAAGTCAGTTGAATGGTTCATCTTGCCTGATGTCGATTGTTTCCAACTCAGCCAGGATCTATACAGTCTAACCACCAACAAAAAGTCAGGGGTTATATTCAAACTAAAAATTTAATCTCAATCATTAAAATTTGTCGGCCGTTTGGTGTAGTGGTTCAGAACGGACTACTATGCCGAGAGGTCCCGGGTTCGATTCCCGGCCGGGCAGAAATTGAAATTATGAATTTTAATTTCTGTGACGGGTCTGGGTGTGACTATGTATAATATGTGTTTTTAAAAAAAAAAGTATATAAGTAGTATAACCGTTAAGCTAGCATCCATAACACAAGCATTAAGTTGCTTACTTTGGGGCTAGCTGGCGCTGTGTGAAATTGTCCAAAGATTTATTATTAAAAGGACAAGCACTGGCTCCTCCGAATGCCTCCATCGCCGCTCCCAGAATCCATGATGCCGGAACTAGACCGAGTTTACCGTTCCCGCTGGGAGGCGCTGCTGGCAGTCGACGAGATGGTTGCTGACGTCATCGGGGCTCTGGAGGTCAACGCCCTATTGGACAACACCTACGTCATATACACGTCTGACAACGGGTACCATATCGGTGAGTGATTAGTACAAGTACTGGCTCTGTATGGCTCCGTCGCCGCTCTCAAAGAATGCAGGAACTGCGGGTTTACTCAGAAAACGTTATCCCTACTTTGGAATGTTGCCATCCCTCTTACGCAAAGCGAGAAGCCACCATGAGCGACGGTGACAGATAGAACTGAAAATACGTAAACAGCTTTTCGGAGTAGGCAGCCCTACTGGATCGCGTGTACCGCTCCCACTGGGAAGCGCTGCTGGCTGTAGATGAGATGGTGGCTGACGTCATCGGCGCTCTAGAGGTCAACGCCCTATTGGACAACACCTACGTCATATACACGTCTGACAACGGGTACTATATCGGTAAGTGATTAGTACAAGTACTGGCTCCTAGGGAAAGCAAATCTCGCGAGTGTGGGGCTCAAGCGAGATCCCGCAAGTTTATGAATATAATCTGCGAGATTCGAGATCTTTCATCGATCAACGAGATTACATTCCCTACTGGTGGACGAAATGGTGGCTGACGTCATCGGCGCTCTCGAGGTCAACGCTCTCTTTGACAACACCTACGTCATATACACGTCTGACAACGGGTACCATATCGGTAAGTAATTAATACAAATACTGACTCTGTATGGCTCCGTCGCCGCTCTCAAAGAATGCAGGAACTGTGGGTTTACTCAGAAATCTTTATCCCAAGTTTGGAATGTTGCCATCCCTCTTACGCAAAGCGAGATGCCAGCATGAGTGACAGTGACGGATAGATCCGAAACTATGTGAACAGCGTTTCGGAGTAGGTAGCCCCGCTAGACCGCGTGTATCGATCCCGCTGGGAAGCGCTGCTGGCTGTCGACGAAATGGTGGCTGACGTCATCGGGGCTCTCGAGGTCAACGCTCTATTGGACAACACCTACGTCATATACACGTCTGACAACGGGTACCATATTGGTGAGTGAATAGAACAAGTACTGGCTCCGTATGGCTCCGTTGCCGCTCTCAGACAGCATGTTGCCGGAACTGCGGGGTGACTTCGAAACTCTGTTTACGTAATTACGGGTCTATCTGTCTCTGTCGCTCATGCTGGCATCCCGCTTTGCGCGAGAAGGATGGCAATATTCGAAACTTCGGAGTAGCTCCGCTAGACCGAGTGTACCGTTCCCGCTGGGAGGCGCTGCTGGCAGTCGACGAGATGGTTGCTGACGTCATCGGCGCTCTGGAGGTCAACGCCCTATTGGACAACACCTACGTCATATACACGTCTGACAACGGGTACCATATCGGTGAGTGATAAGTACAAGTACCAGTGGCTCCTAGGGAAAGCAAATCTCGCGAGTTGGGAGCTCAAGCGAGTTCCCGCGAGTTTATGAATGACAATTCTGCCAGATTTCGCCAGTTTCGAGATCTTTCTTTCATCGATCAACGAGATTACGTTCTCTCCTGGCTCCGTATAGTTCAATCACGTCTCGGAGAATGCCGAAACTGCTGGGTTACTCCGGAAAACGTTATCCAAAGTTTGGAATTGGAATGTTCCCATCTCTCTCACGCAAAGCGTGATGCCGGCATGAGCGATGGTGAAGGATAGACTCGACACTACTTGCTATATCGCGTGTACCGATCCCGGAAGGAAGTCTTCAAATCACTTCAATTTTGTTCAGTAATGACTAGATTTTCATGTTTACTTGTTATTTTTATTTAATCAATTTTTCTATTTTATTAGCCGTAAAAAAGTGTAATAATTTTTGAAAGGAATAAAATATGTATTATTAACATGTAAATTCTTAGAAGTATCGATTTTAATTTATAAATTGCCAGTTTGTATTAGTTTAGCACGTAATGGTGGATGGTGCGGTCACCATGAGTTGCAAGTCTACAACTAATTTTATATCCACCACAGGTCAATTCTCCCAAGTATACGACAAACGGCAGCCTTACGAAGCGGACATAAAGGTGCCACTCGTCATCCGAGGTCCTGGCCTGAAGAAGAACGCCCAAAACCCTCAGCCAGTCTTAAACATTGACATAGCACCGACCATACTACATCTAGCCGGTGTAAAGGCACCCGAAATGGACGGCAGACCAGTGAAAATGGAAAAGGAAGAAGTGGATGAACGGTATATGCTGGTGGAATATTATGGGGAAGGCAGAGATGGTTCTGTCGACCCGAATTGCCCGTGGAAGTATGACAGCGATAACCTGGCGGTAAGTGTTTCTTCTTCTTTTGTTGATAGCGATGAACTTGTTAGAATATCGGACTAACCATATCGGGGATAAGATGTTAAAAATTTTCATTGATTTTCGATTATCATAATACCAAGATAAGGTTGGTGGCAATACAATATCGGCCAGTCCAGAGCCACATAAAAGATTAAAGACTTTTCTCACAAAAAGCTTGAAAAAATGTTGATCGACAATGTCAAGTGCCAGTGACGTAACAGTTCAACTTGAATAGTTATTAGTGTTATTACCACTATAACAAATAAAATCAAAATTAATGGGTGGCATTCAAGAAACGTCTATTTTGTCTTGTTTTATTCCAGTCGAATATGCTACAGTACCTAGTAAGTCTGACTCTTTCTTGACGGTTTCATCATCATCATCATGTCAGCCATAGGACGTCCACTGCTGAACATAGGCCTCCCCTAATGCTTTCCACGTTGATCGATTGGTAGCGGCCTGCATCCAGCGCTTCCCTGCTACCTTTACGATGTCGTCGGTTTAATTAATATTAATTTCATTTCTACAGCAATGTTATCCAGAATACGATTGCAAGTGTCAAGACGCGAAGAACAACACGTTCGCGTGTCTCCGACACATTGCCAAGCGACTCAACATGAAGTACTGCATATTTGCTGACAGTGAGGTATGAATTGGCAACGACAGCACATCAAGCTTAACACTGTGGTGTCTTATTTAGTTGTGATAAGTGCTATTTTGCAGCAAAAATGTATAGGTCTGATGTGCTGTTGATTGTACATTAATACAGACACAGGGCCCGATGCCGTTGTCCACTATCTCTAGAAATAATGTATCTTTCTCTTTCTTTACTGCTGGCAATGAATCAGGCAACACAATAATAGACTTTGTCTAATGCTGTTCCTTCTCAGCACTGACCAACATTACTGTCCCAAAGCATAATATTGGTTCAGAATTGTATTGAGATACTTAGACTGACTTTCAATAATTAAATAAATTTTATTTAGGCTGCGTTGCACCATCTTACTTTAACTATAAAAAACGTCAAAAGTCTGGCAAACTCCATACAAAAACACCGGTTATGGTTATAGTCACGGTTAAAATAAGGTGGTGCAAGTCAGCCTTACTATCGGGTCGGGCCCATTGCATGACACAAAATCATAAATAACAATTTCATTCATTCATCATTCATTCACATCATAACAAGCTTTTCTCATTGTTCATTTGTAATATCCATTGCAGTTGTGTTTTCGATCCAATGTGAAAAGTATGTATTTTTTTCTGTACAAGTCCTTAAAACCACTTGGATAAAGTCGTAAATGGTTAGACAAAAAGCAATTCACTTTTATTTTACATCCTATAGCTAACAACGCCTACAAAGAAGGTACGTCGTAAGGTTGGAAGAAACCGTATAAAAAAGAAACGAAGATACAGGTTGAAGAAACAGCGGTCATTCAAAAATAGCCATTGGGTATGTTGTAATTGGATCGAAAACGGCACATAACTAATGTTTCACCGAAATCATTTTCATTTCATACTTCTATGTATTCTCCTAGACGAGCTGTTCCAATAAATATCTTTAAATTATAGTATTTTATAATAAATTATCTTGTAAATAACGACAATATTTTATTAGGCATATTAATCGATACATCATATCGCCAATTGACAGAAACTTAGAAATATTTTCTCAGCACCGCAGTCTGTCTAGAAGTATACATAGAAGTATTTGACAGTACCACAAACTTATTTGAATCTATAAAATTAAAAATCGACATAACTCGCATAAAATGTTATAATCTCAGATAAGTTTGAGGTACTATGTCACAAGCAAATCGACCTCAATCACCAAATTACGAATTTTTTCTTAACGGATTTCAATTTTTTCACTATATACGTATTTTCATTTTTTCAGCAGTGATTGGAGTATTATTTTCTTATGTAAATCTTTTAAGTTACTAGCCGATTCACTTTGTTTATATGTTAATTATTCACTAAATTAGACCTTATTGTGTTCAGTTAAAGTAGCTATTAGTTGTTTTAGGGACTGTTGCCTTTTTCCCGTAGATAAATTCCATTTGCACTGTATACAATTTTATCTTCTGGGTCAATTATTACGTCTAAATAATTAATCATCTAAAAACTTGTTACAGAAATTCGCTGAGCTATACGACCTAGCAGCCGATCCTTACGAGCTGGAGAACTCCGTAGACGACGAGTTTCAGGCCATTATAGTGTGGTACAACAACTACTTAAGCCAAATGTTGAAGTGTAAAGGGGCTAAGAACTGCGACGATCCCTTGGGAGAGTCCGTTCAATAGTTAGGGCACAACTACACTAGTAGACTATGCGGGAACGAAGCGCGAGCCTGCACACCGAAGTATGGGCGACCCACGGCGAATCTAACCGAAGTGCGTGTTTACACTATAAGTATCGATCAATTTCCGCATAGTGTACTTGCGTCTTATGTGATGCTACTGACTCAATTATGTAATGAATCAATGTTTGAGTGTAAGATCGATATTTATCTCAATTAGGTACTTAAAAGTTTCGGCCTAATTTTTCTGATGAGAGCCTCACTCTAGTATGAATCGAAATTAGAATTATGTAACTTCCCATATTAAAAAACAACGCACAAAACTTGATTCAATCTCAGTCAATCAATCAAGTCTCAATTTATGTTGAAGTTCAATCTCATTTTGAGCTGCGTTCTTTAATACGCTCCTTCAGGCTTTAGATTCAAGCCTCAAGTACTTAAGTCCTAATTGTAAAGTTCACGTTCTCATAAATACGAGTCTTTCAATGCTTTAATGAGATGAATGAAAAATATTTTCTTTATTGTAGCTAACGGGTAAACATTATTTAGACACTATTCTTCCACTAGCACTATGTTTTAGGGTATTGGCACCAAAGCGTGATCTTAGGTTTACGAAATATTTAAAATTGTGTGTTGTGCTACTTGCTTTAGCTTCGTTACTGTAATCCATAGTGTGTAAAGAGAACTGTAGCGGAAAATAATATTTTTATAGGTATTTTCATAAGAACTTATTCCATTAAAATGTTCGTGAGTGAAATTTCAAACGTCCTGTATGTGTAAATGTGAATGTGCAAAATATATTTTTAAATACAGTTTGGATTAGTTCCTGATAACGTAGTCGTAATGTAACTGAAAATAAATTATATTACAATGTATTCATGTTTTTATTATTATGTAAATTAGTTTAACCTGACATGACTTTAAAAGAGTTCGGTAGGTATTAAAACAAAGACATCTCTATTTTTTTAAATCATTTATATTACAAACCAATCAACAGTTTAATAAAATATTAAAATCTAATAATATCAAAATACATCACAGTCACGTAATGGCAGCTTATTGTACTTCATCGGAATGTAAATCTGGAAATAAAAAAAAATGCACTTAGCTCACAACAAATTCATGTTGAATAACAGAATTTGCACAATGTTTTCCCACTATACTTTGCCAAATTGCATCATATTTTCCAAAAAAATAATAAAAACGGAACTATTTCATATTTCAGTCATTTGTTTCTTTGTCATTACGGTCATTATTTTATCAGTGGTCAAAATATTGAAAGTCAAACTGAAGAAGTAGTTGTTATGTAATGTAGGAAGTGGGTGTTACCACACAGAGTGGGCGTTGCCATACATTTAGATTATAAACAGAAATACTTTTAAATGATCACCAACCTTAATTCAGGTAACGGCAGGCACTTGCTGTCGGTTCTGTATGCTAAAGTAGTCGGTCACTTTGCTTTGGCATTGGATATCTTCTTTGTGCACCAGTGGGCAGGGGAAGTACTTCTGAAAATCATATTGTTAATAATTTGCCGCAGGCCGCTACCAATCGATCAACATGGAAAGCATTGGGGAAGGCCTATGTTCAGTAGTGGACGTCCTATGGCTGAAATGATATGATGATGATGAATTTTATTTGCCGAAATCGAATCGACTAATTGAGGTTAACCTTAGCTGGAGGGGGGAGGAGAATGGGACTATTCAAAAAAGTATAGGAAATATGAGCTTCTTTAAAGCTGTTTGTGCTTAGACTATTAAGGCCGAGTTGCACCATCTTACTTTAACCGTAACTATAACCATATAACCGGTGTTTCTTGTATGTAGTTTGACAAACTTTTGCTAAATTTATAAGATGGTGCAACCCAGTTTAGATGTGAGTAGGTACGTGCATTGGTGTAAGCGACATCAAGTTAAAGTTTACTTTAAACTTCCATACCTGAACTGCTTTTGTTCCTCCAGAGATGTCGACTGTCGGGATCACCTGCTTCGGTTTCAAGAACTTCACGAACCGAATCATTTCGGAGAAACTCGAGTGTTCACTATAGGGTATACCTGAAGCAAAATAATTTTAATATTACTTATTATCTGGGAAAAAAAATACAAATTGTCACTAGTAACTGTGGCACAACGTGACACTTGCACATTTCTAAATGTCGCTCTGGCGCTTTTATGGAGTTACTTAAAGGACAATGACCAAAAATGTATGGAGTGTGGTCCAAATGTCCACCACTAACGAGACCTATGTAGTAAAATAGTCTACTAAATACTGATTCATTATAACCAAACCGGAATCAAAAATATGCTGTCAGTAAAAAGTTATGACTGAATGAAAAGTCATGTTTTTTACCTTTTGATCTGAAAAATGTTCTTGATATCATTCTACCCATCGCACATTTTGGATTAATCTATGCATGTTATGTCATGTCGCTTAGTGTGCCGTGTTAGATTCTCACTAAAAGAAAAAAAAATAACTCAGAAGAAAGACAACAATATTGGAATTATGGTAGGGTGGTCGCTGCTCCGTCCCTATTGGTTGTAGGGTGATGTTATATAACCTAAAACCATCCTTGATAAATGGGCTATCCATAACAAAAATATTTTTTCAAATCGGACCAGTAGTTCCTGAGATTAGCGCGTAAACTACTACAATTATTCCTACAGTCATAACTTTTCACTGACAGCTTCTTTTTTTTTCGTCCCATACTGAAAGTTAATCGGCCTGATCGTCACTTACCATCAGGTGCGATACAGGCCAAGAGCTTCCTCGTTGTGGATAAAAAAAATATCTCTATTTAATGGACTTTAAGCCAATATAGGTCTCATTAGTGGTGGACATTTGGACCACTTTTGGTCATTGTCCTTTAAAATGTAACTTGTCTAGGGCCTCTGGTCTGTCTAAAACTTAAAGATTGTTTAACGTTATCTACTTTTTGGTTCTTTAAGTAAAATGAGACTTAGTTTTCATGGTGTCATTGTTCAACCACTTACCATGTATGGTGACCATGTCTTTCTCGACAGAGGAATTCTTCCCATTCTCCCACCCACTAGGCTTGAAGGCCACCACCTCATTGAAAGCGCCCTGAAGACTGTCCAAATAGTTGCGCAGTTTCTGTTGATTATATTAAATTATTGGCAATAAATAAAACAATGTTTTCTGTTCTGAAACTTGCATAAAAATAAATAAAAAAAAGAAAACATGAAGAAAGAAGCAGTTACAATGCTCATTGCAGTGGGACCCCACACATCATGTCTTGACTCATGGTGACAAACACTTCCACCGTGGTTTTAGGGTAGGTAGAGGTCAGCTTCAAAGAGTAAGTGACATCCAAAGTGGCCAAAAATTTGAACACAACCTTATTCCAATTTTAACAAAGGAATCCTAGTATGGGAACCAGTGCCCTAAATTATTTTACTGACTGACAACTTTTGAAATAAATATTTTTTTATCATTATCTGCTTACCTCATGAGTCAGATCCCTCATCGGCACCACGTGTAGTTGACAGGAGTTCGGAGGGGCGTGGCTGAAACTCCGCCCTTCCACCGCTTGTAATACCCGATCCTTTTCTGGACACGCCCACACTGAACAACCAACGCGTCTGGCCATGCCGAGGAAGAACTTTTCTTTGCCTGATGATGTTAGTAAGGTTTGTTGGTGAAATCAGGTGAGATGCAGGCCAAGAGCGTCCTCGTTGTGGATAAAAAAATGGAATACACTATTCTTAGAAATAACAATCGCTACGTCAGCGTGACGTCATATCGTTCGATCCTGTTGTCTCTGTCTTAGAGAGGGAAGGCACGAGAAACCGGCCGCCCGGCGCACCGCGACTTTGCTCCAGCGCTTGGCTGTGACGGACGTTCTCTCGGTTCAGGGACTGTGATATTTGTGACCTAGATCATTATTTCTGCCATAGGCATATTTCTTTATTGCGTTAAATTGATTTGTGGAATTATTGGTTTCGGTTATGTAATAAATCGATATCTGCTGGTGCNTATAAATTAAATACTTATCAAATTCCTGTATACAGGCTGTCCTAAAACTCAACGATAAGCGGTCGCCGGGTGATGCGTTAAAATTGTTTAAACAAATAGTTTTAGGCAATAAATGCATACTTTATTTTAATTAAGCAGGACAAGCACTGGCTCCTCCGAATGCCTCCATCGCCGCTCCCAGAATCCATGATGCCGGAACTAGACCGAGTGTACCGTTCCCGCTGGGAGGCGCTGCTGGCAGTCGACGAGATGGTTGCTGACGTCATCGGCGCTCTAGAGGTCAACGCCCTATTGGACAACACCTACGTCATATACACATCTGACAACGGGTACCATATCGGTAAGTAATTAATACAAATACTGACTCTGTATGGCTCCGTCGCCGCTCTCAAAGAATGCAGGAACTGCGGGTTTACTCAGAAAACGTTATCCCTAGTTTGGAATGTTGCCATCCCTCTCACGCAAAGCATGAGTGACAGTGACGGATAGATCCGAAACTATGTGAACAGCGTTTCGGAGTAGGTAGCCCCGCTAGACCGCGTGTACTGTTCCCGCTGGGAAGCGTTGCTGGCTGTAGATGAGATGGTTGCTGACGTCATCGGCGCTCTGGAGGTCAACGCTCTATTGGACAACACCTACGTCCTCTACACGTCTGACAACGGGTACCATATTGGTAAGTGATAGTACAAGTACTGGCTCCTAGAAAATGCAAATCTCGCGAGTTGGGAGCTCAAGCGAGTTCCCGCGAGTTTATAAATAACAATTCTGCGAGATTTCGCCAGATTCGAGATCTTTCATCGATCAACGAGATTACATTTCCTACTGGCTCCGTATGGTTCAATCACCTCTCGGAGAATGTCGAAACTGCTAGGTTACTCCAGAAAACGTTATCCAAAGTTTGGAATTGGAATGTTCCCATCTCTCTCACGCAAAGCGTGATGCCGGCATGAGCGATGGTGAAGGATAGACTCGACACTACTACGTAAACAGTTTCGGAGTAACCCTGCTAGATCGCGTGTAGGTACCGATCCCGCTTAGGAAGTCTTCATATCACTTCAATTTTATTCAATAATGACTAGATTTTCATGTTTACTTGTTATTTAATATTTTTTTCTATTTTATTAGCTGTAAAAAAGTAATAATTTTTGAAAGGAATAAAATATGCCTTATTAACATATAAATTCTTAGAAGCATCGATTTTAATTTACAAATTGCCAGTTTGTATTACTTTAGCACGTAATGTGACTATGAGTTGCAAGTTTACAACAAATTTTATATCCACCACAGGTCAATTCTCCCAAGTATACGACAAGCGGCAGCCTTACGAAGCGGACATAAAGGTTCCCCTCGTCATCCGAGGTCCTGGCCTGAAGAAAAACGCTCAAAATCCTCAACCAGTCTTAAACATTGACATAGCACCGACCATACTACATCTAGCCGGTGTAAAGGCACCCGAAATGGACGGCAGACCAGTGAAAATAGAAAAGGAAGAAGTGGATGAACGGTATATGCTGGTGGAATATTACGGGGAAGGCAGAGATGGTTCTGTGGACCCGAATTGCCCATGGAAATATGACAGCGACAACCTTGCGGTAAGTGTTTTTAACTAATATAACTATTTTTATTAGTTTTCGATTTTCATTCGTTTCAGTCACTGCTGGACAAAGATCTCCTCCATAGATTTCCACATCAATCGGTCGTGCGCTGCCCGCATCCAGGCACAGTTAGCGTCAAATAGTTTGTGACACCAAAAGGGGTCAAAAACTTGACAACAAAACCGTATTTTAATTGTAATAAAGATGTGATGCGACTTTTTTGGCAACTTTAGGTGAACTATTTGACGCTGACTGTACTTCCCGCGACCTTCGCCTGATCGGCGGTTCACTTAGTGGGGGGCCTGCCCACACTCCCGTCTTCCGGCTCGTGGTCGCCACTGGACAACTTTTCTATCCTAACGACCATCAGCTCTACGAGCTATGTATGTGCCCTTGAGTTTAGCAATTCTGCGGGTCGGTCTTTTCTTTTTTAACGTGTTTTGTTCCAGTTTGAATTTCATAGATAGAATGTTACAGAACCTTGTATAAGCCTAGGCGCAGACACCGAATTTCAGTTGGGCTGTTAATAAGTATGGAGATGTATGGAAGTGCGCACATTACACCGATTTGGTGTCGGCCAATTCTTCATACAAATGAAAATCGGGCCCAACTATCGGCCAACTAAAAGTCGGTGGGCTGCGCCTAGGCTGAATCCGACTCACCCTTGACAGTTCGTTATATTAATTTGTTTTCTACAGCAATGCTACCCAGAATACGATTGCAAGTGTCAAGACGCGAAGAACAACACGTTCGCGTGTCTCCGACACATTGCCAAGCGTCTCAACATGAAGTACTGCATATTTGCTGACAGTGAGGTATGAATTGGCAACGACAGCACATCAAGCTTAACACTGTGGTATCTTAATCAGTTGTGATAAGTGGTATTTTGCAACAAAAATGTATAGGGCTGATGTGCTGTTGATTGTACATTAATACAGACACAGGGCCCGATGCCGTTGTCCACTATCTCTTGTAATAATGTATTCATCTCTTTCTTTACTGCTGGCAATGAATCAGGCAACACAATAATAGATTTTGTCTAATGCTGTTCCTTCTCAGCACTGACCAACATTACTGTCCCAAAGCATTGAGGATCATTTCGATTTTTAGCTGTGAATGCAGATTTATAGGGCTAAGAAATCCTTAATACACAGTGCAAAAATTTTTGTTCTACGACAAAAATTGACNACCCGCTCATAAACAGGCTAATGTTCTTTTTGAAAAAATCGGAATGACCTATTAATCCCGAATTCTATATTATTTCTACGTAAAATACATAAAATAATAAGTGAAATTAGTAAATACACCAAACTATTCAATAACAAGAGAGTAATCATTGTTTGTGTTGTTAACCACCAACTTTGAGTAAAGATGTCTTTTAATATTTTCAGTTCATATTTTATCGAGAATCTAGATATTCCTTTCAGGCATTTTCCCTTAGAGCCTTTATAAGCTTAAACCAGCGATCGGTGTATTATCAACTGATCAGTAGCAGATCGGTCAACTTTGTCCGCAGTTCATCAATATTTTCATATTCCCTGTTGTATACCAGATGAAGGGCAAGAGCTTCCTCGTTGTGGATAAAAAATGTTCTGTTCAGTGATTGTCTCTAAATGTGTTCTACGTAATGTAAACTTAGGGGATTGCAAACATTAGCTGTTAGTCCTAAGAAAGTCAAAAACATGTAACGGAATCTCCGACTTACCACTTTAGTGGAGCGATCACAGAAAATAATGGCCTATTAAGTACATGTTCTTTTGTGTTATTATGAAAGTTCAGAAAACTGCGCAGTTTTTAAAATTATTTTGGACCTTTGGAAGTTCTTTTTTTTTTCAAACTTTTATAGAAAATTTTAGAACGTTCTGCTAAAAGCATATTTTTTATGTTTCTAGCAAAATATTTGTATCTTGCATCAAAGATAGGAAGATAATGATTTTTTTCAAACATCTGCAATTAATAGGGAATCTGTCAAAAAAAAGAAATCTGAGAAAAGTCAATCCAAAAAAAAGATAAAAAAATTAAAGCCTACTAGGTCATAAAATTTGAAAAAATCACAAAATTAACGATAACTTCTAAACTACGAAAAATCGCAGAACATACATGGGGGTGAAATCGATAGGTCTAGTCCTCACCTATCACCTGCCTTCGGCTTGACACCTTACAAGAAACACCCTGTATATCAATTTATTTCTACTTTAGATAATCCGCCTTTAGAATGTATTCCAGTAGACGTTCTTGGAAAACGTTATTCATCGTTAACACCTTTGCTGCGGCAGTAACTTTCTAATACTTTCCATTCCTTCGGTACAAGGTCAGTAAACCTGGTATTAAAACTTACATTGTGGCGGCACAAGGCTNAGTAATTTTCTTTCACTAATTGTTTTTATTTTATTATTCACTATCTGAGTTTAGTTAATTTGAACGTCAGTTTGGGTCTCTTATCGCAATCACATGAGTGCACGCATGGGATTGTGCTAAAAGGCTGTGATCTTTCTAACATTTGTGAATTTTAACTTCAAGAAACGACGGTTTCACTTTGGTTCCTTGTAAACTGTCATACATTGAACTCACACCACTGACATTCCAGATGATTACCATGGAACCGACTAACATTTGTGAATTTTAACTTCAAGAAACGACGGTTTCACTTTGGTTCCTTGTAAACTGTCATACATTGAACTTACACCACTGAGATTCCAGATGATTACCATGGAACCGACTAACATTTGTGAATTTTAACTTCAAGAAACGACGGTTTCACTTTGGTTCCTTGTAACTGTCATACATTGAACATATACCACTGACATTCCAGATGATAACCATGGAACCGAACATGGATGAACCAACCTGGTGAGGGTCAGCCTCAAGCTGCACCTCAGGGCTCAGAGCATCAGCTTCCTGCGGACCAGGGCTGCGATGACCAGCCATTGGCGGGTCCGAGCTGCGCAGATCAGTTTTCAAACGTCGGGGAGGTTATGCTGCGCGCGGAAGAAGCCGTGGCTGATGGGGAGCAGGCAGCGGTCGAGGACGCCGCACGATCAGGAACGGCCGTCTTAGAAATAACACTCGCTACGTCAGCGTGACGTCATATCGTTCGATCCTGTTGTCTCTGTCTTAGAGAGGGAAGGCACGAGAAACCGGCCGCCCGGCGCACCGCGACTTTGCTCCAGCGCTTGGCTGTGACGGACGTTCTCTCGGTTCAGGGACTGTGATATTTGTGACCTAGATCATTATTTCTGCCATAGGCATATTTCTTTATTGCGTTAAATTGATTTGTGGAATTATTGGTTTCGGTTATGTAATAAATCGATATCTGCTGGTGCCGTACATTACTTTTAAAAAGCACTCTCACCTCTGATCCTTAAGACTATTTTAAATCTTTTTGCCTGGTCCTAAGAACCAAAAGCAATAAAATTGGATTTTTTCGTAGTAGGGTCAAACTTAGCTTAGCTTGGATATTAATTTTTTTTTGCAGATACATAAATTGCTGAACATAGGCCTCCCCAATGATTTCCACAAATGCTGGTAGGTAGCAACGGCCTGCGCCCAGCGCCTTCCTTCTACCTTGTGGGTGGATGTCCTATGAATCATTGGGGGAAGCCTATGTGCTGAACAGTGGACGTTCTATGGCTGAAATGATGATGATGATGATGAAACATTATACAAAGCTTCCAACCGGCCAATCTCGAAATCATTGGGGAGAGAATTGCAATAACGTGTTCAGCAGTGGACGTCTTGTGTCTGAAATGATGATGAATACAAACTAACTAAACATTTCAACTCACCAATAGTGTATGTGCCGCACACTATTAGCACTGACGAGAATTTCTTTCCTGCCTTCTCTAAAACCGCCTTCTTTTGACGCAACAAATAGAGAGCCATTTCTAAGCTTTGGTCTTGGGTTGGAAAGTCGTAACGTGGGTTGCAGTACCTGTGGATTATTATAATATAAATACTTGGAGTGCAAGTGTGGGTTTTGTTCCCCAATCGATAAAGCACACGATGTCGTGCCCAAAGAACTGCACGCAGGAAGATTTAATGAATGCTACTGACAACGCCAATCTTATAGCAGAGTTTCGGGCTGCCACTGTATAGGTTTTTTGTCGACAACAAACAAACCTATGTATAGTTTGTTGTCGACACGACAAGAAAAGATAATATTTTAATAGTCAAATGTGGTTCCAGCAGAGTAAAATAAGACCTTCTTTCTTAAGTCGTCGTTTGAAGTGTCTAAAGGAGGAGAAATTGCGTACATCAGGCCTCTCCAACCCTAAGATCATTTACCAGAGGCAAATGGTCATGTTCCTGCAATGGAGACTAAAAAACCTGAAGATAAAGATGAATAGTCAAGTGTACTTGAACAAGAAGCTGCAAAAATCAAACCGCATCATCTCAACTACTAGTCTCCTCTCAAAGAAAGGCACGAGCTACTTCAGAAGCTGTACAACAATCATAACTAAACTTACGTGGTGTCAAGGTACACAGTGTGGACGTCTTTGTTCCAGAAAATAGGGTAGGACTCCATGACAGGCGATGCTCTGAAGTCCCCGGTGTGCAATAACGTTTTCCCGTTCGGTAAAGTGAANAACGGCCCGATTTTTTCACCGGATTTAGCGGTGGCGTATGGTTTATAATGAACGTGTGCACATGCATCGGACATAGGTCCGGCGAGAAAATTGACAGCAAACAAAGGATATCCGTTTTTTGACGGTCCGTCGTCCGGTGAAAAAACGGACGTCTACAAGCGCTCTTAGTGACATCCAAAGTGGCCAAAAATTTGAACACAACCTTATTCCAATTTTAACAAAGGAATTCTAGTATGGGAACCAGTGCCCTACATTATTTTACTGACTGACAACTTTTGAAATAAATATTTTTTTATCATTATCTGCTTACCTCATGAGTCAGATCCCTCATAGGCACCACGTGTAGTTGACAGGAGTTCGGAGGGGCGTGGCTGAAACTCCGCCCTTCCACCGCTTGTAAAACCCGATCCTTTTCTGGACACGCCCACACTGAACAACCAACGCGTCTGGCCATGCCGAGGAAGAACTTCTCTTTGCCTGAAGATGAAAATAAGAATTGATGGTTAAATCAGGTGAGATGGAGGTCAAGAGCGTCTTCGTTGTGGATAAAAAATGGAATAAACCATTTTCAATCTTTTTGCCTTGTCCTAAGAACCAAAAGCAATAAAATTGGATTATTACGTAGTAGGCTCAAACTTAGCAAAGCTTGGATATTATTTATTTTTTTGCAGATACATAAACATTGCTAAACAAAGGGTACCGCCAATGATTCCTCAAATGCCGGTAGGTAGCGGCCTGCATTCAGCGCCTTCCTGCTACCTTTATGAGGTCGTCGGTCCACCTTGCGGGTGGATGTCCTATGAATCATTGGGGGAAGCCTATGTGCTGAACAGTGGACGTTCTATGGCTGAAATGATGATGATGATGATGAAACATTATACACAGCTTCCAACCGGCCAATCTCGAAATCATTGGGGAAAGAATTGCAATAACGTGTTCAGCAGTGGACGTCTTGTGTCTGAAATGATGATGAATACAAACTAACTAAACATTTCAACTCACCAATAGTGTATGTGCCGCACACTATTAGCACTGACGAAAATTTCTTTCCTGCCTTCTCTAAAACCGCCTTCTTTTGACGCAGCAAATAGAGAGCCATTTCTAAGCTTTGGTCTTGGGTTGGGAAGTCGTAACGTGGGTTGCAGTACCTGTGGATTATAATATAAATACTTGGAGTGCAAGTGTGGGTTTTGTTCCCCAATCGATAAAGCACACGATGTCGTGCCCAAACAACTGCACGCAGGAAGATTTAATGAATGCTACTGAGAACGCCACTCTTGTAGCGGAGTTTTGGGCTGACACTGTATAGGTTTGTTGTCGACATGACGAAAAGAAGATAATATTTTAATAGTCAAATGTGGTTCCCCCCAGCAGAGTAAAATAAGACCTTCTTCTTTCTTGGATGTCGTTTAAAGTGTCTAAAGAAGAAATTGCGTACATCAGGCTTCGCCAACCCTAAGACCATTTACCAGAGGCAAATGGTCATGTTCCTGCAATGGAGACTAAAAAACTTGAAGATGAAGAAGAATAGTCAAGTGTACTTGACCAAGAATCTACAAAAATCATATAGCGCATCATCTCAACTACTAGTTTCCTCTCAAAGAAAGGCACAAGCTACTTCAGAAGCTATACAACAATCATAACTAAACTTACGTGGTATCAAGGTACACAGTGTGGACGTCTTTGTTCCAGAAAATAGGGTAGGACTCCATGACAGGCGATGCTCTGAAGTCCCCGGTGTGCAATAACGTTTTCCCGTTTGGCAAAGTGAACACCAACATCAGTGCTCCAGGACAGCTAAAAGTCAACGCTTTTATATCTCTGGTTCTGTTATAAGTTAAAGCAAAGTGCAAACATGATCCATTTTAAGAAAAGAATCAAGAAGGCGATTACTTTGGTGAAAAAGGCAATACACTAACTTAGATTTCATGTAGGCAAAGATCTACATTGCAAAGTTAAATCAGATTAAAACAGTACTGCGAATAGTTCTTATTATCTACGTATTTGAGTCTAATTTACTTACTGATTAGCATCGACTGCTGTCACCTCGACGCCCTCCACGCGAATGGATTCGTCAGGATTTATCACGTGGATGCATTTCGGGCTGACGCCTAACCGAGATATGCATAAGTCCGCTAAATAATAAAATGGATCAATTAATTTTAAATTTTTTGGATGACTCTTTGAAACTGTGAGTAGGTGGTAAAGGAGACTCACCAGTAATTCTCGAACAAAACAGTAATTTATTAAATCCTTTCTTCAACCCTGAATAATGGTCCGAATGAAAGTGAGTAAGAAAATAATGCTTTACATTAGGGATCTCCCCGTAAGAAAAGGCGTCTACCGCGAAATGTGTACCTGTAAGATGAACATTCTTATAACTATCTGGATACTTCATGGAATTTGTAAGAATTTATTTTCAAAACTTACCGGCAACTATTTTATAGTGTGGGATATTTCGGGTGGTTACGGTAGATGTCTTCGTTGATTTCGACCTCGAAGGCAAGCTGAACTGGATCGAATCCACATTCTTTCTAGGCGAGTGGGAGCTTATACTGTCATTCCTGGACCTAGGTGAAGGCACGCGTGGTGCGTCAGAGCTAGAAATTTTAATTTCTTGCCGCCTCGGAGAGTCACTTCCCCTTCTGGACGTAGGTTTGGCAGATTTCGGAGATTCATTAGTACGACTCTTGCAAGAACCTCTGGCAATACGGTCGCATTTTACGGCGTCAATGACACCTGAATTTCTGCTCATGTCCTGTCTGACATCACGAACTACAACATCACCATTTGTATCCGCAACAGTACGAACGTCAGTGACTTTCAACGAGTTCAAAACATTGGTTTTACACGGCCAGTAGTCTACAATGGATCTCTGCTTCAAACTATCACCAGCTTTCCCATTCTTACGCGGAGATGCGATCAACTTTTTTTGTACACTGCCCTTAATTTTATTCCTTTGTAAAGTTTGTCGTTTCACTAATTTATAATTTGGTGGTTGGATAATGACGTGCGAGAGTTTATCAATGGCATCTGTGTTCAAAATTAGAACTTTTGAGTTTTCTGTGGAGTCATCTGACAGCTTTTTCCTTTTTATTTCTAAATTGACAGCTACATCAGATCTTTTAAGAGGTTTTTGGAAAGAGGCTTCATTCATATTCTCGTCTAGATTACTTTCGACGGAAATTTGTGAGCTCTCTACGATTTCACAGTCAACAGTAGCATTATTGTTGTGAGTTGAGACTAGTACCCTTTTGAGATTACTTTTATTTGTACTTACATCAAGTACGTTACAGTTATTAATACCGAAAGAGACAGATANTACAGATATAGAAGGTTTATCTGCATTATGGACTTCATACACAATGGTCTCATCATTATTACTCATGCAATCAACTAAATCAGTAGCAGATGATATTGATAATACATTATCATCATTATTCAGATAATTCTTACTTAATACAGGTTCTACATTATGAGGATTCTTAATGGGACTTAAATTAGAATTAAGTTGTACTGTACTCAGATCATCAATAGCAGAAAAGCCTAGGCTTCCCTCATGCTCTATTTCTTCACTTCTTACATCCTTTTCTTTTTCTACAACATTGTTTATTTTTGCCTGTACATGTATTGGCTCCTGTATAAGGTTTTGCGTATTTTGAAGATTTTCCTTATCTTTAGGAGGCTGAAAAAAATTGTTTAATTTGATAATTTATTTTACTGTGGAAGGACTATTTTAGTTTATTAAGTAGATTCAAAGATAGATTAGAGTTGTTATCTCATTTCTTTTGGATTTTGCCATTTTAAGTTTTTTTTTTAAGATATGGCTGTAATTTTTAGAGGGTGCATTATTCTTTTTACGTTTGCTGGTCTTAAATTGATTAAGAAAACTTTTGAAAAGAGATTATGATTAGTAATTTCCTTGATAAAATCAAATCATGCGCATAAAATTATAAAAAATATTTTGAGATATTCAAACCAATAAAAATAAGTCTAAGAGTTTTTACATACCTACAATCTACTTGCATTAAGTAACATTGAACAAGATCAAATCGCATTAGTATCATAGCAAAACATTGTAGCAATGTATAATGTGCCTAAGAAAAATCCATCCAATTGCAAAATTATGGACTGAATATAAATAAAAATTATGTATTTGTAAACTCAATATATTTTTTTTTATGCATAAAAAGGCAGGTATTAATAATTGTAATACAATCCATTTTATAACAAAAAGTGCCAAATGTGTTGGCTATTATACAGTCATGACAAATGGGCTGTACCCAGAGCACAAATAAATATTAAAAAGCAGTGCATAGGAATATGATTATGAGTGATTCATGCTCAGGACTTATGCTCGTTTTCACCATCAATCTCAAATTTTTAAGTGACCCCTTTGAAAAGAAAATTCCTGTTATGTGTTACCATAAAGGTCACTTAAAAATTAGGGGTTGATGGTGAAAACCGTCATTAATGTCCTATGTCCTCTAGATGGGGCAGAGGGCATCCACAACATATAACTACATAATAACATAATGATATAACATGCTCAAGGCACTACTAAAAACGATTATTTTGAAAACTTACCTTGTTTACAGTATTCAACTTGGTTAATCCATTACTTCTTCTAAGCGATAATGAGCAGCGGCTTGTAACAGAATTCTGGGTAATAATAATAAAAATAAGGAAAAATAAACACTTAAAAATAAAATATTAATTTGTAGTAGCGTTGGCTTTAATACATGCAGTCAATAGCAGGATAATCTAAAAGTTAGTTTGTTGTGACTTTCAACTTTGTTTTACTCAAAATTCGACTGAATTGAAAAAAAAAATTGCATAACTAAATACCTGTGTAAGTGTTAAATCCCCTCTTTCTTTTTTAATCGATCGTGGATTTAAAATAGAGGGTATAAAATCATTGATATCACTTCTATTCATTTCCCAATTTATTTATACCTACTGGGTTCCATCGAAAATACAGTTACTGCAACAATTACTTGCTCAGTGATCGCAACAGAGTAAATGAAAACGTGTTCACTCACACAGCTTTGTATAAATGAGTTAAGGGAATAATTTAATTGATGTTATTTATTTACAAAAGACAAAAATATTTAGCTTTTCGAGCGTGCAGTTTTTTTTTTGACACTTGACATTGACAGCAGTGATTGACAGTGCAGTACTTTTTTTACACAGGCTTCGTTCGGCCGAAAATAGAAATTGCACAAATAGAATTGTTACTAAAATAGCGATCGCCATGGCGAAGCCGAACTTTAATATGTTTTCGGCGAGAGGACACGTTTGTTAATTTAAAAAGTTAGCAGTGCTGCAGTGATAGCATTTACCACTGAATTTTAACGCCATTTTTCTTACTGGCTCTATTTTCGGCCAAACGCCTCCATTGTTAAACATCATTTTTCTTTTGAAGGAAAAGGCAAAGGCATTTTCGAACTGCTGGGCATTGTTCGAGGATAATATTAAACTTTTGAAGCTGTTAGTCAACTGGCTGTGTAATGTTAAGCCGTGTGTCTTTACTCTTTATAAAAAAACAGCAAGGCGTTTTCAGCCCCCCTAGACAAAACGCACTTTTTGATCGAATCGAAAATCGAATCCGTCAAAACTCCATACAAAAAAGGGACTTTTCGACCACTTTTCGACTGGTTTGCGATTATAATTTGCACTTTGTCTAGACCCACAGAAATATCCATCGTCTCTTAGGTTTTTAAATCTATGACCTATCCTTGGGAGGGAAGTAAGTTTCATTTTATAACCCTCATACTTTCACCGCACGGAGATCGGCAAAAATCCTAAATGACTCAGTAGGCGTATACCTTTTATTTAGCCCTATCTTGCTCTTATACAATCAATGCTATGACACACGTCAGTTAATAAAAGTTGCCAGTAATGATCAAATTTTACCAATTATATAGGGTAAATACAAAAAGGAAATTAATGCTTATGTTGAATTTTTGTCTTTTTACTGTGATGATGATATTATTTTTTACTGGTCATAATGATTTAAAATTATTTAAAAGAAATTAAATGTTGTAATCTGATGACAAACATTGTGCAAAATAAATGATTATCGTTTTTTAAATTTTTTCAAATTGAGGAAAAAGTAGTATGTAATATGGTAATATTTTTCAGTGCAATTTTATATTTCGTGGAGGAGGTTTGCTTCTCCGAGAACAATTTTTTTGGAACAATAAAAGTAAGATAATAATCAATAAAAGTGTAATTTGTGTGCTGAATCGTTCTACAGATTGTTGAAAATGTAAGTTTTTATAAAATTGTCACTTGTAATTGTTATGTTAGGTTAGAATTTGCATATTTTAATTTCTGCTGACTGTCCCCGATGATTTTCTAATATTATTACGCTTATTTTTATTAGGGGCTGTAAGTGGCTTATTCGTTTTTGGGTATGCTAAAAATGTTCTCTGTGTAACCAAATATACATCCCTTGCTCAACAGTACAGTTGACTGAACATTTAAAATCAATACCGAAGGGACGACAAGAATAACGTACGCTATTTACCTACAAACGCACATCCAGAAATTATTTTTAAATCAATGTGCGTGTTTTACAGTACTTTAAACCTATGAGGCTTGTAAAATATCATTGTCATTATGTTTTATGTTGCTGTTACTCATACCTACTCTTTTACTCTACAGTTGTAGGTACCTACTAACAACTATTTCATTATTTATTAGAATTTATTACCTGTATTCATTTGCAACATTTTTAATATCTGATTTAAACCCCTTTTAATATTCTATAAATATTATGTGTGTTGTGTAGATTATTTTATTTATTTATAAATATTTTATAAAACTAGTCCTGTATTTATTATCTCAATATTCATCACCACAAATATTTTCCACAATTGTGCAAGGCTTGGAGGGATCTGCGCTTTATGGGATCGTAAAACAGCATAAAACTAGACATTCACACAACAAAAAAGTATCAAGATCACAATTGAAAACGTCAAGTAGAAGATAAAAGAAAAAACGGGAAGTAAAAGAATGGCTGGAACTAGAAGGGCCCGTAACCAAGCAACTTCAATTGCTATACCGAGGCAGAATTCGGTTTCGGACAATGGGAGGCCCCGTAATAACTTGACACCCGAAGCGTTAGCAGGCATGAGCAAAGAGCAGCTTCGGGCAGAATGCAGGAAAAGGGGCCAGCGTGCGTCGGGCAACAAAAATGAGCTGGTATAAAGCTGTTTGCGTTTGTGTCTGTGCTTTGTCATTTTGTTTTGCCGATCGTGCTGTGGTGCTTACGTTTATGATTTTTAGTGGAGTTTTCGATCTTTTAATATTTACTGTTGTAAATATTTATAAAATTATTATTTTTTATTAAAACATTAGCAGTTCAACATAGAAAGCTTTGTTTTTGTAGATTTTGACTTGAGTAGATTTATATAAAATGAGATGTTAAGTTTAGCAAATTAAATGTGATTTACAGCTACGTTTTTATTAGTTTTTTAGAACTTCACTAGCACTAGCTTGTGTGTTTAAATATTAATAATCACCTATTTTACACAATAAGTATGATTTTAAGTACGGTGAGTACTCTTACCTACCATACATCATCAACAAAAAAGTACTTTCCCAGCTCTCTCATATTAATAATTTTAAGACATATATTTTTTCTGTTTAAACTTTTAAAGGAACTTACACAAAAATTAAGTTTTCACTTTTATTATTGTAAAAGTAAAACTAAGTTCATATAGTTACCTATACAGAAATCTCTGCTAATTAAGTATTTTATTTAAACGTCTAAAAATAAAGTGCATTTGTACATTTTTTAATTATCTATTAGGTGACATGTTCATTTGAAATATTGTATTTTGAAACCAGCTGTTGTTCTGGCAAAGAAATTTTGGCACATGTGGTTTGGCTTATTATTATTTCTATTTATTATGTCACCCTTTGTAAATTGCATGGAAAATATTGTGTGGACATAGAATAGAATTGATATAGAATTTGGTGTGAAGTCTGGTGTCCTTTCTCTCTTAATAAGAGAGAAAAGTGACCACTACTTTACTACCATCACATTCTGTAGGTCGGTTCTTACTATTCACGGGATGCCTCGAGAACCGCACGACAATCGAAAGGATCGTGTCCGAGAGCAGATAAACCCCCCGTTTATGAATTACCACCACTTAAATATTGGACGGTTCTGTCAGTTCTGTGTGATCTGTTCACCTTTGGATTTTGTTATCATTAACATTATTAATCAGTTAACAGGAAAATTAGATTTAATCCTCAAGGTATTAAAATTGTTCAGTGTTCACATAATACTTCTTGGAGCTGTATTTTTTCATTCAAATGTCTTACGTCTACACACTACGCGCAAGAGCGTCGTAGATAAGATACTCAAATAAATTGTTCCAAATGTACGAGATTTATACGTAATAAATCTGTCTGGTTTTCTCTATCTCGTCTACGATACTTAGACTTTACTTGCTGATAAAGATACACATACGGCCTTATATCTATTCTAAACATGATTACTTACTATCACAATTATGTCGTAGGTACAGTATGTGTCAAGTAGTTAGTCACCTCCCCAAAGTAGCCAATAAGTTTGCAACACGTCTTTGTTTCAACTTTTTGGACACTGGGTGTCACGACACGATTCACGAACTATGTATTTCACGTTACTGTACATACGAACCTACTTAGTAGGTAGGTATTATTTTAATTTTATCGTAGATGGAAAGTGAACCGTTTATTCAGTTTTCAGGAAGCGCGAATTAAACTGCTTCCGTTTAACTATTGCTAATGCTAGTACGTACTAATTATTAACTCATTTAGGTAACTAAAGTGGCTTGAACACTAAGCTTGAACATACAAACGAATATTGCAACAATACTTTATTAAAATTTAAAAAATACATATGTAAGTACTTTTAGTTAGTTGCTTACTAAATACAGGTCAGTGGACCTGCGCACACGCACCACGCGACGATCACGCCACCTCGCTACTATTTCCGTAAATGAATTGACTGACACGTAAATATATACCTTAGTGTCAAGGTTATAAAGTCCACAATTTACAACGCGCTCTTCGTAGGCACTTTACTGATTTACAATAGTCGCCTTTATGCGTTACAGATTAGAAAATTAATTCTTTAATTATTGAGCATCGAAAATTGTATTTTAGGCTTGTAGAGATAAAGTCGAAAATTGAATGTAGAGAGAATTTGGAGGGTAGCCATGACAGGATAAATTGTGTCACTTGGATGTCACTGTCAGCTGTGCCACAAAATATAACAGAAGGTAAACTCATGTATGTATACCTTGATTTTTTAGAATCCAGCAGAGATGTAAACAAACACTTTCATACACAATTACACCATAATCACTTACGTGTTCATAATATCATACACATTATTTAACAAGCCCATGAAACCAACTTTATTTTCACGTTTATACAAGTTTGAAATCAATCTTTGAAACAAATTATTTTAGCAAAATACGTGGACGATGAAAATTTGTGACATTGTCAAATTGACTTGACGTTTAAAATCATGTGTTATCTCCATATTGTCTATGACTTGTCTCTGACACATCAGTGCCGTAACCTGTGAGTCATAGACAATAATCTGTAAATTTAATCGATATTATTTTAAGTATTCACTTATTCCGATTACTGATTAATTTTAAATAAAAAATATACGATACTTTGTTTAGTTTTCCAGCGATAACTTCGACAATATTGGAGATAACGTAAATTTATTTTTCTACTTTTAGTGTTTACTTTTTCGGAGTCAGTTTAATTTTTAGTCGGTTTTATTTAAACGAAATTATTTTACTTTTTTATGCAATTATGCTTACGTATTGTTCCATTGTTTATTTTTAAGAAAATAAAATAAAAGTCCCCTACCGGCACGTTTTTTTTCTAACTTGACGACGTTTTCCATTCACCTGTGTGCAGCAGCAACTTCCGTAATTTTTTTTGGAGTTATTACTTGTCAAATTACATTTTCATGCAGGCAGAACTGTTACTTAGATATTATAGATTGTAACAAGTCCAAACTTGCACGGAAAGTTAGGTTTGTATTCTAATTTTCCGTATTTGTTTGTGGCAAGTCGGTCAAATGGACGAAAACAGGAGCTGGACGGAAAACCGGCGCAATTACCCTAATTCTTTAATTATTGAGCATCGAAAATTGTATTTTAAATTTGTAGAGATAAAGTCGAAAATTGAATGTAGAGAGAATTTGGAGGGTAGCCATGACAGGATAAATTGTGTCACTTGGATGTCACTGTCAGCTGTGCTGTGTCAGATAAAAGTAGGTAGGTTTTTATTATTACTGTGGGTCTAGACAAAGTGCAAATTATAATCGCAAACCAGTCGCAAAGTGGTCGAAAAGCCCCTTTTTTGTATGGAGTTTTGACGGATTCGATTTTCGATTCGATCAAAAAGTGCGTTTTGTCTAGGGGGGCTGAACTGCTTACTATCTCTGAAGATCGATTTCCGGGATGGTATGGAATGCCCTTCTCGACACGCTTTGTTAGAGATGTTTGGATTGGTATTGACAATGCACACATGTTTTCCCGCCACTTGCTATGGGTAAACAAAACACGTCTTTGTTTGCCAAACTCGATTAATTTCCACCGTTCAATTTACCAGTTCTTATTCAGCTCTCGGAGAGACTGCGCACATTTATCTCGGAAGATAAAACAAAGCTTTATTTATAATCGAGTCGCGAAAATAATTTTCTTGGAGTTCTTTGTGATTAATTTTAGTAACGGTCCATAACTTCTGTGGCTTCTGTCGGTTATTCATTTCGGATGTTCATACGTGTATAAAATACAGTAAGTTTTATTGAAATATTGTTAATTATGACTCAAACGTTTCAATTAAATTATAGTTGACTTAGCTGGCATGGAACAGCTGTAAAACATATTTTTGATTGTTCCTATCATCAATTTGAAAAAATTGTGTCAGTTTCCAGTTGAAGAATTAGTCAAGTACCTACCTAACTATTTTAACAGTTATCATTAACAGTAAATGACCATAAGAGCCCGATCCTTAGGGGCGGCCTTTGTCCAGCAGTGGAAGTCATATGGCCGAAAGCGAAAAACGAACGAAGGACCATAATCGCCACAGATTGATAAATGTATTTTTACCCGACTGCGCCAGAAGGAGGGTTATTTTATGGAAAAGTTAACTATAGGTACTTCAGTAGTTACAAAACTTTACGAGTGCACATTGTTGAAATCATTCTGCCTCAATACATAACAACAAAGTTATGTAAGTAAACAGGCTGCATTTTTTCTTTTCCAATCGGATACGATAGCATAACCAGACTGGCGGCCCCAGACGATAGTGAAATGAAAGAGAGAGTGTAGCATGAAAGTGAAAATTTTAGTAGTGCTGCTGCTGTGATGTCACTGACATTCTGACATTTCACCATCGACATTATAATAAACCTGTTGTGGCGTGATTTTGTGTGGTGCTATTTATTTGATTTTACGTGTGCGATTTTATTAAAAAACTGTGTTTATTTCCTGTGAAACAGCTACTTTTTTGGGTGATAAAATTTTGGCATCTCTACAATCTACGATAACGAAGGTGATTTTTTTTTTCTAGTTTTACTGGTTTTAGTAATCGCAATTCGCGCGAGACTTCGAAAACTATTATTTATTGTCTATTGTGTCTGGCTGTCTAGGTCCGCGAATCTTTAGGTACATATTAATAAAAATAAAAAAGTTTTTTGATCGGGTCAGCAGAATGTAGGCACCTATTATAACTATCTACGTGACTACGCAGTACCTACGCACGTTTCGACATAGTTAGGTATAAGAAGTTTGATATTATTCCTTATCTTTTTAGTTCGATGCGTATGCGCATTGATTCGTTACGCATTATTTAAAAACAAAATAAACACTTCTTTTATTTCGCAGAATAAAAAATTAAAACTTGAAATAATTTAATAAAATATTACCATTCACATAAAAAAAAACCTATATTATTTATTTTATTCCTTATCGCTCCCATAGACAAAGTAACATTAAATTTCGTGATCGATTCGTTAGCGTTAAATCATTTTTGCACGTAATTAGAAAGGCACTTTGCTACATAAACCTGTCAATTCATTAATAAGAATAAATGTTAGTTTGTCTATAGTGGCAATTTAGATAGATATGATCTTGACGATATTTTTCTTACGTTGATTTTAACCACCAAAATCCTCAATGACACCCATGCATCATTTGCATGTTTTCCAGTCACATTAAGCATAGATTTCCTTTTCCACCCAACTAGTGCTATCCGTCCAATCTACTGTATGCTCTAGTTATTGAATAAATTTGTAGAAATCTGTCATACATTTTCTCGTGGTTTAATTATCTTACGATTTTCTTCCTAAGCCACAATTTTCCCCTTCGTTGCGTCCTAATAATGTATGTATGGAAATGGTAATCATTCCCATTAATCTTCTAGAAAAATACGGAACCCTAAAAAAGAAATATAATATAGAATGTACTAAAAATTGTTAGTGACACTAAAACTGCCAAAACGTAGATGAATATAAATAATAATGTGCAGAGTAAAAGAGGATGTTTTTTTTCTCAAATCCACAAAATGAAATAGATATTACAATCACAATAATTATACTAAACAAAACTTACTGCTTTAGTGTTTTTTTTTTCATTGTTAGTGCTAATAACAATTTAATTATATTGTGAAATCCATATTACTCAGTGGGTTTTCTCGTAACATCGGAATCTCGGAACCGGCAAAATGTTATCAGTAGATATTACGGTACCACGACTATACAATAAACATTCGACTTGAAAGATGTTTTAATTACGATAGTTTTGGGTGTTTGCCAGTAATTGCTCTTTTCCATCACGACGGAATATCTTCCTGAATCGTAAATACCTAGGCTACTACATTGTAGTTTTTTATTTGCTCCTCTGTTTAGTTAGAAACAATGCAAACTTTAATCAAGATAAGAAAATGTTCCGTAATTTAGAGGGCAGTGAATGCACGTTAGTCGCGGTCCAGTCGAGCTATAAAGCAGATTCTTTGGAGGCTTGAAGAGTGATACCAGTCCTCTTAGAAAAAGTAACATTCGAGACAGTTTTAATTCTGAAATCGCTAATAACTACTCGCTAATTACTTTGCTTCGCAAGGCAATCGCAAAAGAATGTAAGACGAAGTATTCCTAATTCTTATACGACCTGCCTTCCTTCTAATACTAGTAACGAAAGAAATATATGCTTTACATAGCGAAAAAAATGTTTAAAAAGTGCCGTAGCAAAGCGATCACGAGATTAAATCTGTCACTAATAATGTTATCATGTCTAGAATCATTTTCTCTAGTGAAAACCAATTTACATATCCCAAATGCTGCCGTCATTCTATTCGAAAAATTTCGAATCCTACATCGGCAATAGAATGATGATTTTCACTCTAGAGAAAATCGAATCCAAAAATTTTCTGCACCTCAAGCAGGAGATCTCTATTGCACAAAGATCTTCCCTAGACTTTCATAGCCCACCAGACAGACAAATTTAACTATCTATGTATATTTATCTGGCCTATTCCAGCTCGCCCGGCTCGGGTACTACAAGCTGGCGGCGGCGGTGCAGGAGCCCACCGAGCCGCGTCCGCGCAACGGTCTGCACCACCCCATTCATAAGGAAATAAGGTATCAGCAGCATCATCGTTAAATCGACTAAAGCCTGGTCCGTGAGCACGTAGAATCCCGTCCAATGACCCCAAGCTGCCCATCCTTGTCGCTCGCACGTTATGTTGCTGTCGCGCTCGCGCACTCACTGCGGGCGCGCGTCGCACAGTCGCGACAGCAATATAATTACGCGCGAGCGATAAGGATGGGTAGCTTGGGGTCATTGGACGGGATTCTACGTGCTCACGGACCAGGCTTTAGTTAATTAGTTCCCAGGTATCATCATCATCATCATCGTTAAATCGACTAGTTAATTAGTTAGGAGCACCACCCCCTCTAAAATCATCATCGTTGTCATCAAGTCTTCTAGTCTCCTCTGCTGAAGCACGTCTGTTTCTAATTTCATTAATATTATGTCATTTAGTATCCACTACATTAAGCAGACGACCCTCCCTAATTTCGTTATCATCAGATCACTTAATCCCCACCGCTGGAACATGATCGTCTGTGATTTTATCATTATCATCATCAAATTATCCAGTCCCCACTGAGCACGACCCTCTCTTTTTCCATTATTACTAAAGCACGACGTTCTTTAATTACGGTCTGCACCACCCCATTCATAAGGAAATAAGGTATTATCATCATCATCAGTTCGTTTAGTATCTACTATAGAAGCACGACCCTATCTATTTTCATCAGCATCAAAATCATCAGATTAGATAACGGTAAGCACGATCGTCTGTGATTTCATCGTCGTCATCTCCATCAGACTATTAAATCCCCACTCCATGAACACGACCCTTTCTAATTTCAACGTTAACACCTTCATGTCATTTAATCCCCATCGCTGAAGCATAATCATCTCTGATTTCACCATCATCATCACCAGGTCTTTGTCTCTACTGCCAAAGTACGTCCCTCTGCTCTCTCATTTCAAAGTCAATATCAGCAGATGATTTTGTGCCCACGACGCTCTCAATTTCATCATTGTCAGGTCAGGTAATTTGGTCCTGGAGTAGGGCCCAAATGGCCAGCCTCTCTAATTTCTTTATCATTCGGTGATTTAGTCCCAACTACAGAAGCACGACCCTCTAACTTCAACGTCAACATCATCAGGCCATAGTCCCCACTGCTGCATTAAATCTAAAGGCAAATGATGGATTTGGGTTACGCTCCCCACGTCACGCTGACCAAATAGGATAGGGAGGCTAAATGTTTGAATATTTGTCCCTTTTGTCCCCATATCCTGAGGTAGACTCTATGAGATAGTTGGTCCATCTTGGTCATAAACTCTCACAAATTAGTTCCACGATGCAGGCTATTTTTGTGCTTTCACATTTTAATAAGCGTTGTCTGATGTCTTTCTCTGTTGGCTCAATCAATTTCCAACTTTATTATTTTTGCAGGAACAAATCAATTCCAATGGACAGCGACAGCTTAGTACTGTGGCGGCGGCCCTTCACCACCCTCGAATACTTCTTTAGAGAACTTCTAATACTAATCAGCACTGGGCTGCAACGGTAAAAAAATTATGCATTATTATGTATTTGAAATACACTAATGATGGGTTGCACCATCTTACTTTCACTATAACAAACGTCTTTCAAACTCCATGTACAATACACTGGTTATGGTTACAGTTACTGTTAAAGTAAGGTGGTGCAACTCAGCCGACATAAAATAACAGGTCACAAAATAACGAAATTCCCAAATAGATTTTGGAATTTAGGTCTAAGGTTTTAGATAAAAAATATTAAATATTAATCTATATTTTAACAAATTCGCATTCGAATCTGTAACAATTTGTGCTATTTTAAATTGATATGTTCAGAAATAACAGTCTGTTTTTAGCTAACATTGGTACTTTGTTTGAATATTGTTTTAAACTTTCATGGTCACTAACATAATATTTAATATTGTTTATGTTATTTGCAGGTTATTAGCGTATAGACTACTGGCGTTATCAACCATTGTGCTAGCAGCCAGTACTGTTGTGTCTTACTACATTAGTGGGCCACACCAGGCTTACGTACATGTAAGTAGAAATATAATTATCATTATGTCATGCATGTTATCATTATTGCTATTATTAATTACCGATTAAATTAATTATCATCAATACTTTTCCCTGAAAACATCACTGTAGTGGTTGCAAACTACCTATTTTTCAGTACGCCCATTGATAAAAGTATTAGAGGCCCTTCAAATTAGAGTCGCGCAGTTGCAGCGCCACTATCGTCTGCGTTTGTCACGGAAAGTGTATGAAAACTAGTAGTGGGGCCGCTGCAACGCTTCCTCAGTCCTCACGTCTCTAATTTGAAGGCACCCTTAACTTTGTTTTAGTTTTTTTTAATGTCTATACTATGAACGACCACTTATTAAGTTTACTAGCATCCTACAGATATAATAGGTGCCATTTTGCGACAAAAACTTACAGTATTTGCCTTTTCTTCCCCAGTTAGTGGTATCGACCCTTGCATGGTGGGGCTGGTGGGTGGTGCTCGGAGTCTGCAGCTCTGTAGGCCTGGGGACAGGGCTCCATACCTTCCTGCTATACCTCGGGCCACATATAGCGCGAGTCACGCTCGCCGCGTACGAGTGCGGTGCGCTCAACTTCCCGGAGCCGCCGTATCCCAACGAGTGAGTGACTACTGTCCCCTGGACTAGTGTCCCCGCTAGCATTGCAGCTTAGTAGGCCTGGGGACAGGCTCCATACCTTCCTGCTATACCTCGGGCCGCACATAGCGCGGGTCACGCTCGCCGCGTACGAGTGCGGCGCGCTCAACTTCCCGGAGCCGCCGTATCCTAACGAGTGAGTGACTACTGTCCCCTGGACTAGTGTCCCCGCTAGTATAGTGCAGCTCAGGCCTGGGGACAACGCTCCGTGCTCTTAACTTCCTTAAGCCGCTGTATCCCAACGAGTGCGTGACTACTCTCCCCTGGACTAGTGTCCCCGCTAGTATAGTGCAGCTCAGGCCTGGGGACAACGCTCCGTGCTCTTAGCCTCCTTAAACCGCCGTATCCCAACGAGTGAGTGACTCTTGACTACTGTCCCCTGGACTAGTGTCTCGGCTAGTATAGTGCAGCTCTAGGCCTGGGGACAGGCTCCACACTTTCCTGCTATACCTCGGGCCGCACATAGCGCGGGTCACGCTCGCCGCGTACGAGTGCGGCGCGCTTAACTTCCCGGAGCCACCGTATCCCAACGAGTGAGTGACTACTGTCCCCTGGACTAGTGTCCCCGCTAGCAGGTGCAGCTCTGTAGGCCTGGGGACAACGTTCCGTGCTCTTAACTTTCCGAACCTGCTGTAGCCCAACGAGTGAGTGACTACTGTCCCCTAGATTAGTGTCCCCGCTATCATGCTGCAGCTATAGGCCTAGAGACAGGCTCCACACCTTCCTGCTCTAGCTCGGGCCGCACATAGCGTAGGTCACGCTCCTTATCCTCCCAACAAGTGAGTCATTTCAGCCACAGGACGTACACTGCTGAACATAGGCCTCACTAAATAATTTCAGATTGTTCGAGAAAGCGGCTTGCATCCAGTGCCTTTTTTAAATCTAGCTATTTGAGCATGGATAGCATCAAAACAATGACATTCGTATATTTCCACGTATTTATAAATTAAAAATAATTAAAATGTGTACCTTAATGCCAAACACGTGTAACGAAATTAAATCTTCAAAATAAGACTGTCAGATTATTTATTTACTAGCTTTCCGCCCGCGGCTTCGCCCGCGTGGAATTTTGTCTGTCACAGAAAAACTTTATCGCGCGCGTCCCTGTTTCAAAAACCGGGATAAAAACTATCCTATGTTCTTTCCCGGGACTCAAACTATCTCTATGCCAAATTTCATCAAAATCGGTTGCGAGGTTTAAGCGGGAAAGCGTAACAGACAGACAGACAGACAGAGTTACTTTCGCATTTATAATATTAGTTGGGATGGGATTAGTTGGGATAGTTTCGTCGGATTGCTAAAATAAATTGTCAGATTTATATCATATCGCGCGATGATAAAATATATTGAACAAAGTGCAGTAGCATTGAAATCTCGAATCTAGTCATGCATCATTATACATAAGGGTTGCCACACACTTAAGCGGGCCAACATTTCTGATTAAATTCGTTCTAAGACGGCCGGGACTACTCAACCTTCAATGGGTTTCATTAGATGCCAGCTATAGACACAGGAGTTGCAGTGGTGAGAAAGAGAGGTGGGATTAGTCCCGATACACTAGCCATTGTATCCAAAGAAGTTTAATAATTTCTTCTGGTCGGCTTTGTCGTTCAACAAATTTTAATACTGCAGAGTTCAACCACTGTCGGACCGCCAAAGTGTGTGGTAGCCCTTATAATTATTATGTGCTATAATAAAAGCATTCATGCGTGGAATTACAAGTGTTCAGCCAAGCTACCGCACGCAAATATGATTATAATTTCTATACTTTATCACGTTATTAAATGTAAAGTAGATATTTTATCACATTATACTATTAAATTACTAATAGTTAACCATATTGACCATAAATCAATAGCAAATTACAATCTTTTATTTAGAAAAAATGATAAATGATTATTTTCGCAATGATAACTTGTGAACAAAATAAATATATTCTTATGATATGTTTGTGATACAACTATGTAGTATATTTGTCAAAGAAAAGCAGTATTCGATAAACATGATACTGAAAAATCTGTTGATTTATTGGGCAATGATAATACCGTTCAAATAAAATACACAATTGTTATTGCGGCATATTTGAGATCCATCTGTGTGAGATAATATTTGTTTAGTGCTGTTTTTTATTGTTCATTTATTTGGGTAACTTTTATCTTAAATTCACATTTTATCTTTTGTTTCCGTTCAGTCAAGATCACGCTAATGCTATGCAACCAAATAACATAATGTAATAATGCATTTAGGTAGATAGTGTAGTAGTGTATTATCTATTTAAATGTTATATTACTTTTAAGTACGGCTAATCTCATCGGAATAATACAATTTTCTTTCATAAAAAGTAAAAACTCGAAAGTCAAAATTCTTAATCGCATAGATAAATAAATGTAAATTTTGTAATGGATTAATTGGTGCTTTAAACCCTAGTTATTCATGTAGCAACAGAGGCTTAAATCTACGAGTATTTATTACCACTTAACTAGATAATTTAATAACAGTATCTAAATATATAAAAGGAGAAACTGACTGACTGACTGACAGATCAACGCACAGCCTAAACGGTTAAACGTAGGCACTTGAAATTTGGAAGGGACGTAGCTTAGGTACCGTAGAGGTGCACTAAGAAAGGAATTCCCGAAATTCCCACGAGAACGGGAATTAGCGGGAAAAACGGGATTCACGCGTGCGAAGTCGCGGGCGGCCGCTAGTACATTATGAAATTCAAAAACAGTCGACTTATTTAAAAAAGGACTAATTTCGTTCGTTTCAGCTAAATGACGTCGACGCGTCTTTCCATTCTATACATAGCCAGAACGCAAGGGTGTGAAACTAATCGAGTATAGTTTGGAGATGACTTTTTTTACTAAGCTCCTCCAAACTATACACGACCAGTACGCATACGCTGCGTACTGCTCGCGTATACTTTGTAGTGACTTAGGTCAATTATCTTCCTCCAAAATATACATCGCCAGTACGCATACGGACTAATCATGTATGTATTGTAATAAGTGCGTGATTACAATTTATACGCGAGTAGTTGCATGCTAGTCATTTTGACTTATTGACCTCTCTTTCTATTACATACTAGCTTTTCGCCCGCGGCTTCGCTCGCGTGGAATTTTGTCTGTTACAGAAAAACAATATCGCGCGCGTATTTGCTCACCGTTTAGACCTACCCTGGACTACGACAAACATTTTAAAACCAAAATCAGCTTAATCGGCCCAGCCGTTCTCGAGTTTTAATCAGACTAACGAACATCAATTCATTTTTATTTATATAGATAGATTAATTCATATCTGCGTGTCTACTTTAAACATTGAATCATCTTACGACACGTGTCATTGTTTTGATAAAGGATTTTTTGGTGTTTCTTATTCTGCCATAGAAAAGATATTTGTTTTGGGGCTGATATTTCACCAATTGTAGGTATGGAAATATGTCAAAATGATTTTGTTCTTGAGATAAAAGTTAATAAATAAAATAAATAATAAATAAATATCCTTAGACATTTTACACTGCGCTTCTAGTCCCAAACTAAGCAAAGCTTGTACTATGGGTACTAGACAACGGATATAAACATAATTAAATACTTTTTTTTGTAAATACATACTTATTATACATAGAAAACACCCAGTCCAATACAAACAAATATGTTCATGCACACAAATGTTTGTACTGTGCGGGAATCGAACCCGCTACCACTTCGAACCACTACACCAAACGGCCGACAATACAAACCTAGCATTTAAAGTATCGCATAATATTGTATTTAATGCGCGTTGAACTTTCTTCTCTCACTCTCTCTCATATTAATTAAATTGTTATTTAATTTGAAATCTACCTAATCAATTTAATTTCAAAAACCACTTACAATAGTTTTAAAAATCTAGATTTATTATAGATTCAGTAAAATAATAATATTTTATGTAATAATATCAAATAAATGTAATTTTAAATATAGTTCCATATTTTACTGAATTTTACTAAATCAATATCAACTAAACACACTCTAGTCAAGTGTAAGTGGTGTAGTAGAAACTAATCGAGTATAGTTTGGAGATGACTTTTTTTACTAAGCTCCTCCAAACTATACACGATCAGTACGCAAAATTCGTGTATAGTTTGGAGTCACAGATTTACAAACAGGCACTCCGAAATATACACGAGCAGTTTCCTATGGGTGCGTTCTGGCCATGTATAGAACGGAAAGACGCGACGTCGACTGCTGGACAAAGGCCACCCCCAAGGTTACTAAATGATATTTTTTTCTTTTGTTTCCAGCATAATCTGTCCAGCTGAAAAGGATCCCAACAACCTAGTGACAATATGGAACATAATGTCCAAAGTCCGAGTGGAATCAATGATGTGGGGCATAGGGACGGCCCTTGGCGAACTCCCGCCTTACTTCATGGCACGGGCGGCTAGACTATCTGGCGGCGGCGTTGTTGAGATAGCTGGGAATGATGATTCTAGGACTGGCAGGTTAGTGTTGAATATTTTGTTTTATTTTAATTTATATGATGTGGGGCTTAGGAACGGTCCTTGGTGAACTCCCGCCTTACTTCATGGCACGGGCGGCTAGACTATCTGGCGGTGGCGTTGTTGAGATAGCTGGCAATGATGATTCTAGGATTGGCAGGTTAGTGTTGAATATTTTGTTTTATTTTAACTTATATGATGTGGGGCATAGGAACGGCCCTTGGCGAACTCCCGCCTTAGTTTATGGCACGGGCGGCTAGACTATCTGCGGGGAAGTTGTTGAAATAGCTGGCAATAATGACTTAATGACGACTGGCAGAAGTGGTGTTATTATTTTTTATTTATTTTTACTTTTTTTTCATAATGGTTTCCTACGATCTGCACATTTCAGCCAAAAAAAATCGAAGTCCTCCACAGATGTCCACAGCGTTCGGTTTTTCATTTATTATGACTGATAAATAATTGATGAACGATAAATTCAAATGTTTATTTATGATTTATCCAATCAGTCCATTACATGCTAGGTATCAAATCCGATGTCACGATGACTCATGAAATTGATTACGCTTACATTTATCTGCAACTCGATTATTAATTTAATCTTAGAATTAAGGCCAAGGGGAATTTATAAATAATGTTAAGCAGATAACTTGTATCTCATGTTGATAGTCCAATAAATAACTATGTAGCAACAATAAATGAAATTGATTTTTATTTATTATGATTGTTAAAATATTAAACCTTCTTTTAAAGTTATACCTAGCAGACACAGAAGAACTATTCTGTTTACTTTCGGTATTAATAATAACACCATAATTTCTTTAACAATGACACTTTCTCCCGTATTGCCCGATGCACAGGGTGACACACGAACCAATCACAGAGCTCTATTGAACGCTGCGCATTCGATTTGCTGCTTCACTTAAGCAAGCATCGTTTGTGAATACGGGCGTTTGAATATCATTAGCTAAGCCAAGGATATTTTGTATGAGACAGTAAACATTATTTTTATTTTTTCACTTCCAGGGCGAAAGTGTTCGTGCAGAAACTAGTCCAACGCGTCGGTTTCGCTGGCATCCTGGCTTGCGCATCAGTGCCCAATCCGCTCTTCGACCTGGCCGGGTTGACCTGTGGACACTTCCTAGTGCCTTTCTGGACCTTCTTCGGGGCCACTGTCATAGGAAAGGCGGTTATAAAGATGCATATACAGAAGATGTTCGTCATTATTGCATTCAACGAAACCTTAGTTGGGTAAGTACATTAATAAATTCTTTTTTGATTTCTAGAAGGCAGGCAATAATTATTGTCATGTATAAGAGTCTTGAAAAGACCTAAGATGAAGACGAAGAAGAAGACTAGGATAATTATGAACTTGAGTTCATAGTAATCGCAAAAGCTAGGTGCTTTATTATAAAGAAAGAAGTTTCTGGTCTCGTAGATTATGGTCGGTTACAGAATTTCTTACAAAAAGTATAATTTTCAATACTAAAAAGTTCATCTGTTTAAGTATGGCAACATAACAGATCAAGTTCTCATACCCTAGATCCAGTATTATTTAACGTATGTTTATTGTTAACTTTTCTTTTTCAGCCAAGTCTTATCCTGGGTGGAAAGAATACCGTACATCGGGCCGAAACTAGAAGCGCCCATGCTAGAATTCCTTCGCAACCAAAAAGCGCGCTTACACAAAACCGACGGCTCGTCCCTACCTGAGAACCAAGGATCAGTGCTCTCAGCCCTACTCGAGAAGTTCGTACTAGCTATGGTGGTATACTTCGTGGTGTCAATAGTGAATGCGCTCGCGCAGAATTACAGCAAACGCGTCGGCAAGAAGAAAAGCAAGAAGAGGGAATAGGGGTTACGGACGCCGGGCGACGCGTTTGGTGGACTCGGTAAGTGTATTTAAATAATATTAGACCTAATTTTGGGAAAAATCGTGGGTAGCTAACATCAGTAATAAAATTATAACACAAAAATTGTATAAAAAAAATTTGATCTGAAACTGAGCACTGAAGTTTTCAATCATCAATTTTCTCGAAACTCTATTTTACGACCTTGTTGCACTCAACCAAATTCTTCAACTGTCAGTTAATTTGGCGCTTGGCGCTCTATGACGTTAAGATCTTGTCACATACACGCTATAGTCTGGTCCGGGAGCACGTAGAATTTTGTCCAATGACCCCAAGCTACCCATCCTTATCGCTCGCGCGTAATTATATTGCTGTCGCCACTGTGGGACGGGCGCCCGCAGTGAGTGTGCGAGTGGATAAAATTCTACGTGCTCCCGGACCAGACTTTAGTGGCGCCTACTTGTGGACACACTTACGATAGCCCTAATTGACAAGGGCGTCCACCACCTTATTATGAATACGTTTTTCGCTATCAGAATTTGGACAGTATTCACCGTTTAACTGACACATTGTCTTCTAATAAAAATAAAGATTTTTTATAATAAATAAACAAACATACATATTATTAATAGTAATGTTAATTTTCCAGCGCGGCGACGACAGGTGACGGATCGTGGTGCGCGCCGGCGTCGGTAGTACACAAATCGCGCAACAGACGCACCCACGCGTCAAAGTTAAACGTTTACTCCGTCACAAGATGGCTGCCACCGCCACAAAATGGCTACCTCTGCGGTCGCGAAATGGCCGCTCGAATATGCCGGTTCGTAGCTAAACAATTGAGTGAGTGTGACTTTATTTATAAACAATTTGATATAGTGATGTTATGACGGTAAGTGTTATGATAGTTACTAGCCGTATCACAAATGCTGACAGTCATAAAATAGAGCTTTACTAGCTTTAAATGTGGTAAAATGATCAATAACTTTGAATCTCCACCACTAATACTTATTTCTTTATTTGCCACAACGCACAAGCATCAAAATTCATATCTTTTATTAATTTTATGATACAAAACAAACTCACTACTTTATTTATAAAAAACAGCTATCGTTCGACCAATGATTATCTTGCCTTTACATTTATATGTAAATATAGCTTATATCCATCAGGGGTAGATGTTTAACTTTAATGCTGAAAATAGTATATCGAGTGCTTAGAAATAATTTTAACATGGGTTTTAATATACAGCGTGTCTAAGTGTAGATATTAATAAATATAGGGTGCTCATTTGAAGTCAAATAGTTGTGGGCGACAAATGGCATAGGATAATAGGTAAAAAAATAACGACTATTGAAACCTTTTTGGATATTGTGGTCAAAACTTTATAAAAAGTAAAATATATAAAGTTATTTTGTATACACGATACTTCTTAGGTTATCAAGTGCTAGTAATAGGACAATACCTAGAATACTAAAATTACCAAACTAGCCATTTTTGTTTAAGTTACAGGCACTTGTATCGTATGCATAAAAGGCGATATCACTAGCAACAGAATCGATCTATAATCTAAGAAGTTTCGTATGTATTAATGTAACTGTATAATAAAGATAATAATTACACCAAATAAAAAACCTATCGAAAAATGGAATATATTTTGTCACATAGATCTAATTTATCTAAAAAGGTGTATTTAGCCATAACAAAACGACTATCTGATTCGTATAATAGTATAGCCAAACTAGTGTAACAATAATAGCAATAGCATTGGTAATAAATAGTAAATAAATAGAAAATGGAAAAGTTTGTATTTCGGGCTATTCATAATGAAAATAGTACCTAGGTTTCAGGTCTTAAAATTTTCTCTTGGTAGAAATATTACTTCTATCTTTAGAATTTTCGTATCTAATAATTGTGAAGTTCTTATATGAGTTTAGGTGATATCTACTGTAAGAATTTAGCAGTCGTATAAGCATAATTATGTCTTTCTATCTCTTAGACATTCATTGTGAATAGTCCTTTTAAACTGCCACAATAGATAAATAGTAAAACTTTTATTACAGTGTTTTTAAACTTTATTTTATCTCGAAAAAGGTTTGTTGTGAATATCTCAAAAATTATTTAGTATGATCTGTGTTATTTGCCAACGTAATATGCATCTTATTGTAGAACATTAGGGTATAATAATGTTGGCAAAGACCACATTCAGTATTTAGTTGTATAAACTTGTGATTGATGATTCCAAAAATTTCGTTGGTGCTGTTCGTAACTCCAGAGACATTTCCCGATTATTTTCACCATCCAACCTAGTCCACGAAAATTATAATTTATTTATTCGTACATGTTTATTTGTTATCTTATGGTAAACAAAGCTGGGCACCGTTAATCAAATAGTTAACTTCGTTAATCGTTAAACCGTTACTAAAAAAATTAACTTCGTTAAACGTTAAAACGTTACATTTCGGAAGATTTAACGCAAGTTAACGTTAATCGTTAATCCGTTAACACGTGATAATAAAACGAAAAAAATAATTGTATGCAAGGTTCAAATAATTTCGAAAACTTGTATCGCGCATGGAATTTATTCCTCTTTTATGTTTGCGATACAAGCTTTCGAAATTATTTGAACCTTGCATAAGTACAATTATTTTTTTCTTTTCAGTACAACTGCCTTTCAGAATTAAAACTAGTTTTTTTTTTAAAGTGTCTTTTTAATTATAATTTCATTATACACTTTTTAGTTGTATCTCAACTCAATCTCAGACACAAGACCATAATCACAACAATCTCTAGCCTTGGTACAATTACTATACAACTTAGCACCAAAGTGCTCGCTTTTCGAGCACGTTGGCAAATCCAACAAACCCAAACTCGAAGTTTCCACCGTTTCGTTTATGAATTCCTATGGCCACCTACTGACTCCGTCATCTGGACCCTGGACATCATCTAGTACCAAAGTGCTCGAAAAGACAAATCCCACGAACCCAAATTCGATGCGATTCGGCCGTTTCATTTAGGAGTTTCTATGGCCACCTCCTGACTCCATCATCAGACCAGCTCAATGGTACCATAACATTGCATTGTCATCGTACGTACATGAGTATACCAAATTTCAGCTCAATCGGTCGAGGAGAACTGGTCTTAAATTCAGTTGTAAATAAACAAAAAAAATGCATTTTATATTTGCGTTAGTGATCGGTTACAAAAACTGTTGTTTTGGGTTCTAGAAGTTCTGGAAGCCTGAACGTACTTGTCAGAATGCGTTTTTCAGCGTGCCTGCTGTATCTTTTTGGCAAATAGTAGGTACTGGATTAACGATTAACGGACTTAGGATAATTTAACGGAAGTTAACGAGTCCGTTAACATTTTTTAAAGTTAACTTAAAAGTTAATCCGTTAATAGAAATGTTAACTTCGTTAATTAACGATTAACGGATTAACGAGTTAATGCCCAGCTATGATGGTAAATTAGGTTTACAACTATAATATTTAGTATAGTCCACGTAAAAGCAACTCAACCTTTTTAATTGACGAAAATTAATTATGCTATTTCTAAATATAGTCGTCTTGATTTGGTTGTGTGCTAATAAATATAAATGAATGAAAGACATTTTTGTATCTCCTTTATAGAAAATATAATTTATAGTGGATGTTCTTTAGTATCTAAACAAGTCCAGTATTAGTAATATTTTATTGGAATGGTTCATTGTTCTGCTATTTCCAATGATTGCATTCCTTTTAATGTGTATTTTAGTTACTTATTTATGTAAAAAAATAATAGATGTTTACCTTCAGCTTAAACCTTATGATGTATATTTATTTTTACTGTAGTTGTCATTGTAATGCATAAATGAAATATATCTTCATACTTAAAGGTATAATACTTTGGGTTCACAAAAATCGAAGTCAGTCCCTCTTTCTCTACTGTCATAATAGTCGTAACAACTGTATGGTAGTGTCTAATGAAAGTCATTAAGTTAGCAAATGGATAACAATAATATTGATGATATTTTTGTCTGTAAAGGTTTTGTATTTTTCGGCAAACAAATTAGAATCTATTCTTAGATCAATTATTGTAATCTTCTGTGTTTCAAACACTACATACTCGTACTTGTACGTACACTGTAAGCAGTTTAACTAAACACATTTTCAAACGCAATTATTTGTATTGTATACTTCTAAAACATGTAAGTTTTCTGCTTGAACATTCCAATTAATTACCTAAAAACTGAGGGTGATTAAAGTTAAAGAGTGGACACATGATATACATATCATGACTAATGTTAAAATTGTTTTGAATTTGAAATTTTATTTATTTCTTGGAATTAAAAGGATACAATTATGTCAATGTCTTGATTATCGAGTAATATTTGTTTAACAAAGGGATTGTTTATGTTTGATTGTTTTCAATGCAAATTGTTATATTTTAATTAGATCGGAGTTAGATTCATATAAATTATTATCGTGTAAAATTAATTATGAGTGGCGTTTATAGGTAATACATAGTGTGGATAGTCATGTGAAGTGGTACATTTAGTACAAAATATTGCTTAAACATTTTTTGTAAGTTTGAGGTTTCATACTCTGAGAGCAATAAATAAATGAACGTTTAATTTTGTCTTTTTATTTTTATTCATTAAATATAAAATTGCATGGGANACATAGGAAATATTGATTTGTGGTATGTGCAGTGTGGATCTCATATTATGAGATCCACACTGCACATACCACAAATGATGATGATGAGATATTATCTCTTGCTCTTTCCTAAGTCATACTGGGCAGGGCCCCTGTTTGTTCTCAACCTCAAAGGAATCCTTGATCTTTTGCGCCCGACCCCCCAGACAAGTGACAATGAAGTTCGCTTCGGTCTTTTGATGTATGCGAGTTTCTTAGCTCCGTGAATATATTTGATTTTTGGAGCGATTAGCCACTTTTTTTGGGGTCAGGGTCCCCAGTAGTTTGAAGACTGCCCTGGCGACGATTCTTACGCCCGTATTCACAAACATTACTATAAGGTCTCACAGTGCGTGTGGACGCAAAAGGTCACACGCGAACCAATCATAGAGCTTTATTCAACGCTGTGCGTTCGATTTGCTGCGTCACTTAAGCAAGCATCGTTTGTGAATACGGGTGTTAGATATAACATAACGGTATTCGTTATTTCTTTTTAATCACGAAATGTTTAATACTCTGTGGGCTATATGCTGTCACTGTTAGTTATGTCAATACTGTCATTGTCAGTCAAATGTCAACCATCCAAATTGCTGCACAGATTAATTGCTGTGGTTCTCTCCAATTTGCAAGTTTGTTATAAACTCAAATAAAATAGCTTGACCAGGCAGTGATACTTTATAAAAACATCAGTCATGTTGCGGAGTATTACCTCTTCCATTATTCAATGTCGTGGAATCAAGCATCAAGTTAAAATCAAGTGGGTTCGCCCAGATTACGTGCCGTCCTATAAACCTGAAAAATCTGGTGATTTAGAGGCTATCTCTGCATTTCCTCCTGACACATTAGGCAGGGACTATGCTTTAAGTGAGGAAATTAAAGAGTAAGTAGTCTATCTTGGCCTGTTTCATATAAATTAGAAGATGGAAATCATAACCTCTAAACTGGAGCAAACACAACATATTCTTACGAAATCCTGTATAAAATTTACTATGTGTTTGCAGTGCGCCCGAAGCTGTTAAAAAGATATTTTCCATCGCCCACCTTGGTCAAAAAGAATACAATGTTTTGGTAAAAAAGGATCTAATGGAAAGGGTTAAAAGGCACCAATATGACGATTATACGTCGGAATCGCGAAGTAAGTTCTTAATTAATAATTTGATTACTTAAGTATCTTACAGCACTACTCCAACTGTTACTTTACTTAGAATTACCTACTTACTTTCTTTCTCCTAGAATACTGTTACTTTTTTTTACATACACTGGCTTGTAGCATTATTTAAATAAATGAATTTATTATCTTTACAGTTGCCAGAATCACTGGACACATTAGGTGTTTGCAACTAACAATGGAGAGATATCCCAAAAATGTAAAGGCTAAGGTAAAAATTCAACTTTTCTCTTTTTTTTTATTTGTAATGTACTCTGAATGTTACAAACATGTTATTTTTTCAGCAAACTTGCCAAGAGTTGATTGATAGGAGAAAGAAACTGTTGAAATTCTTGAGGCAGTACGATTACAAGAAATTTGAATGGATTTTGGAGAAATTAAACATTGAATTTAAAGGCCATCCAATGTAAGTATTGTAAATAGAACCTTTGAGATTGACTTACGTTATATTTGAAGCCTGTTTATAAAAGTATTGATTTTTTATGGGTACAGGATTTTAACATGCAATAAAATGGTTTTTAATCTAATTTATTGTTTATTTATAGGACTTACAATAAGCTGTCCCGCAAAGAGTCTCTCAAGAAATTGACCGAAATGCACTGTGACGATGTTCGCAACAAAAAACTAGCAGACTACAGGAACCTGTTAGAAAGCCAACAAGGGCCATTCTTGAAAGAAAAGCTTGCGGCTTTGAAATTCATCAAAAGCGAACAGACAGAACTCCAACTGCCGGTAACGGTGACAGATCAAGACATTAAGAAAGTAGAAAAACAGCTGGAAGAATGGAAAATTAAGGACGCCATCAAGCAGCAGGCCAAGAGTAAGAGAAGAAGTGTTTTGTTAGACGATTGAAAATATTATGTAATTACATTTAATTTTGTAGTTTAAATAAACTAGTTTATTGTATTTTCTTGTTATAATTATTTTGAAAGAATTGATTACTACATACTTGACTATTATTTAGAAATGCTTGGCTAACTTTAATTTAATTTTAAACATCAATAAACATAACTTATAAAATTGAATTAAAAGAAACAAAATATTTTTGAAACATTTATTTCCAAATAGATACATCTTAAATCTATGTAAAAATATATAAAAGCGCATGTAAAAATCAGTCAATTTTGGACGGAAATATAAAATACAGGAATGTCATGTAAATATTAGAAAGTATTCAAGTACTTATGACTAAGTAAAGAGTCAATTTAATACATTTACAGAAGTTTGAAATGCCTCATTTTTTTCCTAATGGAAGACCTACTTCTTGTTTTCACTTAACAATTATGGCAAAGAGTTAACAATAAAATTATAATTTTAAGCAGAAATTAAAAGTAACTACTTAATGTAGTACATTAACATAAATTTAAGTAACAGAATAAAAACTAGTCTTATTCACACCTTATTATGAGAGACACTGTCCAACCTATATGAAAAAAAAAAAAAAGAAATTGTTTTTTATGGGACGTGGAATGGTGTAATTTTGTACATAAACACAAAATTACAATACAACCTTTATGAGCATTTCAGTAGATTATGTAGAAAACTAAGTTGATGCACAAAAGAAATCGCCCAACTTTTTATAAATTCTGAAAATATGTAGGTAAGTACTTCAAAACTGGCCTTTCGAATTTGAGCATAAATTCCATTTTCTCTCAATATTTCTAGTTCATTCAAGTAAAAATACTTAAGAAGAACTAAAGTCACAGTAATTTCTTCAAAAGCTGTCAAAGGAACTACTGTGAACAATAAATCTTTTTCCCAAATGAATTCTCCATTATGAAATATGGGTAGTTGACTGACTCCAATAATTTCAAGACAGTTCCTTTTACAATAAAAAACACTTCAGTAGCAGCTCTAAAGAAAACCGTCTTTTTCATTTTGCTGTAATATTGGTTTTTTGTAGTTTGAAAACAATAAAATTCAGTCAATTGGGTTACCTAACTTGCGACGTTATATCCGTAGGTCGTCCTTCGCCTAAAAAGTGTGTCAATTGACTAGTGGTATCAACCAACTACCCTATTTTTTGTACAGAAAGTTATTAGTGGCAAATATTTTATGTTGCACATATTGGACATACATTTTGAATGTTATGCAATTATTAAATATTGTAATGGATGCGGGCAGCGCAGGACCGTTCATTGTGGAAAACCTTGGGGGAGGCCTTTGTCCAGCAGTGGACGTCATTTGGCTGAAACGAATTTTATGGCTTTGTTGTTCCGTGATGTTTGTGATTGCCTGTTCTCATCCTACCCTACAAGTGTCAAAGTGACGTGGTGTGCGGCGCCCTGGCGTAAGCAGTCGGAATGAACCCGGACCGCCGCGACTTGGGTGCGTGCGCCCACAACCATCCTTCTACGGTTTGCTGGGTAAGGTCTGCATACACCCATTCTCCTCTCTTCACTGATAAGTCGTCTGGAGCTTGCGCCTGATGAATAAAACACAGTTTTAATTTTATTTAAAGTTAAGCCTAATTAGTAAACGATTGGAAAGCAAGTACTCCTTTGATAGATTTATTTGGAACAATCTTTAACCCTCAATGTTTGTAACATAGGTACATGGGTGCCACAATAATCTATTAAAAATATAAACGCGACGTTTGTATATGTAGATGTATGAATGTGTGCGACTACTTCTAGTTAAAACTACTAAACGGATTTTGATGTAACTACAGTATTATTGTTTAAACATCACAATAACATAACCATTTGCGACAAGTGGGCTTGGATAAGAATTATTTATTTACATGCTACAGATTTCTTATTATTGAGATGATACACCATGACAAGTAAGAAACTTCTTTCGAAAGTTTTATAGTATTTTTTTAGTTTTACCTTGTAATCGTAAAGCATGACTAGCTCTGTCCCGTGGTACCGGCCGTCGCTGTCCTGTTGCGTAGTGGTGGTGCTGGGCGACATTATAGTGTTGTTCGGGTTCGTCGAAGGCGGTGAGTGTATCTGTTGTGGTGGGTTTTCTTGTTGTGCCGCTGGAAATAAACGTTACATGTAGTGGTTTTTTAATATCTGCATAGTCATTAGGTTTATCATTAAGTACTATAAGTTCAGCATCTCTTCATACAATAAATAATTTTGAATTTGAAACGAATCTAAAAAACTTGGAGTGTTGTTTATAGTATGTATGTATGAAAATCTGTTGGCGTAAATTTTATGTTCAGGAAAATAAGGTATTTATAAGAAGTTTTAACATTCATATTTGCGTTTTTATATGCTTTTATTCGGGAATACTTACCTTGTACTACAGCAGGATAAACAAAGCCAGAGGGTATGAATCCTTCTTGCCCATCACTTCTGACTATCCAGTACCAGTCTGGGTCTTCTCTATTTAGCACTGAAAAATAAAACAAAAGCAGAATGAAGAATGTGCCTGTGCCTCATCACTCATATCAGTTGGTCAGTATTGTTGCAACTTTTGTGGACCGTTTTTTAAGACATTGGAATAATCCGGGCCTCTTCAAGACGAGAGATACACACAAGAGAGAGATGAAAAGGCATTTTCTAGGCTGATATGTATCACACTAAACTGCATCTCAGTTTACATTAGGCGTGATTGCGGTCAAATATCTGCCTTGTTCTACATTAAAAAATGTTTTAAGTTGGACATACCTGTGACAAATTCCCCTCTTTCCACATCAACATCGTTTTCATCTCTTGCTGTGAATGTGTAGAGGACGACATATCGTCCTGAAGGGTCTTTACTGAAAGGGCAGGCTTCACCTTCGCTCCCTAACTCTGAATGACCATCGTTTGTTGCACCGTCCGAAACTGATAATCTGTAAAGATGTTTTGAGAAATTGTATTAAGAATTTATAGATGTCTGAAAGTAAAAGTGGTTTGGATACATGAAACAACAACAACTTAGACAACAACAATATAAATAATAAATGACTCCTAGATTTGAACAAAAACAAATGAAGAACAAGTAATTTCTAGTCCAGTCCAGATAGTTAAAACTTACTAGTCTACTTATGAAAATTAAAATAAACATTTTAGAGTAAAAATACTAACTGTGAAACATCTCTATGCGTCATATCTGTCGGAGATCTACTCCTTGGCAGTTTCTTTTTTAGGTCATGGTGTTCGCACGGTGCACAATACGAGTGTGGAATAAAGCCTTCTCTTCTTGATTCAGCTACTATCACATATACCCAGTCATTTTCTCGATACAATACATTTACAATTTGGCCACGTTTTACCTGGAAAGTACAAACATTTAAGTTAAAATTGGTATATTGAAAAGGAATAAGTTAAATTACAATCAGAAAAGTTATACTAATAGATAAGAGAATCACAACGCTTCAATTTATTGATATGAGTACCTAGAGTCACATCATATTTTAAGTTACCTACTTATAAATCTGAATAATGCTTTTTAGTAGTGTTTATAGTTATTTTCCAGGGTAAATTGTACTAACCTCCAGTTCATCATCAACACATGGTGCAAAGTCATGCAAGACTACCATTTTTGAGTCCGGACTGAGGCCATGCTCCTTCTCAATTCCAACCCTTACAAGCGTCTCAATACTAGCTGAGCCTGTAATACGGCCCATGCCAGGACTTAGCCCTGAGCCTGGCCTAGACAACTCTTTGTCTGAGTCTCCACTGCTCGCTGGAAGAAAAAAGTAATTTAAGTTTGAAGATAAAACCTCCTTTTAGTATATTTTATAGTGAAAACTTGTCATAATCTATCATTTAACAGATTATTGGGAATATGTTGCTGTAAATTATTAAGTAAAGGGGCTTTTAATTTTGTATGTTCAAAAAGCTTTTAATTTCCTACAATAAAGTATTACTCATAGGAATGTCCAGTTTAATTTTCGCTTTTACAATAATAAAACTACATTTTGTATAGCTATTTAACTTGCTTCCTAAAAGAAAGCAGGAAATAGGAGTGGCTTGACAAGTGCAACCTGTGAAGATATAAATTTAGGGAACTCCCGTGTAATTATACTAATGATCTCGCGGTCAAGTCCGTGTGATCATCGTAAGTTGTTTGTCAGGACGAAATTCATATTTATAATTATATAGAAAGTCTGAGGTCAATGACTCAAATCTTCGAGACGAAAGCTCATAAAAACTTACATTTCTTCTTCTTTCCCCTTCTAATTCTCACTGGACATAAGAATGCCATAGTGTTCTTCACTTATTTCAACACATTACTGTTACAAATTAAACGAATTTTATGGGTTTATTTCACGAATCTTTGTTCGTAAACGATTTTCACACGGTTTCTACCTGTCAAAAAAGTTCACAAAACAAGTTTTTTTACGGTGCGTTTCGATTTTGCACCGAACTCTCCGCTACCTGAAAGCTCTTGTTGATAAGTTTGAAGTTCTTGCTGAAGCAAGAAAATTTTCAAGAAAAAATATAATATATTTCAATTTAATAAATTATAGTTTTAGTGGATATAGGCACAATTATTATTGAGTATACGTTAAATTGTTAATCATGTTAAAGTTAATCATAACTTCTGGTGAAGTAGCGAAACGGTTTTAATGTTTCGTATACTATACAGGATGTTCAATGAATTAGATTATTTTATACCTACTCTTTTCTTTGAAAAAGAAAATTGTTGAAAAAGTGTTCGCCGTCCGATGATGATTAAAATTTATAGGTGCAGTGAAATTGAGTGGATAATAAGCTGCCTAATTTGTTAATGGCTACTTAAATAAAAATGAATTTGTGTATAAAAATCTTTATTAGTCATGGATCAGACATATTATCATGAATTCTAAAGGTCGCTTGCCTTAATCTCTACAATATTATGTAACTGCAATAGGATTATATATTTTGGCACATTAAAAACATTATTTAGTGTACAAAATTAGATAAACTTTTATGTCTAACAACACTTAAGTATCTACTGACATAGGTATTATAATTTAATATAAATTATCATGTTTATACACAACAATAGTAAATAATTTTAATACGATTATGTACGGTACATTTATAAACACGAGAGCTTTATTCTGATGGGTGATATAAATTATACACATCTTAATAAGTACGTAAATTACGTAAAAAGTAGGCCGTTAAGTTTTTCTTGATGCCATCAACATCATTGAATGTTAGGTATGGCATGACTAGATAGATAGATATTCCGCGAAACCTAACTTTCTTAGTTGTCGAAAATCATATCATTTTAAAAACATAAGACACTGTTCGACTAATCGACGACACAACGAATGTTCTTTCTGTGTGAACTTTGGCTAATTTTTCAACCCTGTCATCTAACAATATTACTATTTTTAGTTTAGGAAACTCCAGAATAAGTATGAAGGTAAAGGACAGAAGGATCATAGGCTACCAGTAAATCAGTATACAAGAAGTAAGCATAATGCAACCTTTTCTTCTAGCACCATTTAAGTAATCATAGAAGCTCGTCCATAAGGTTAATCCGACCACAATATTTTCCTTTCCGATAGTTTGCTGAAGAATTATAGAGGATATTGAAGCCACGTTACAAAGGTTTTTGGTCACCAAAAATACAAATCTCCATTATAATATTGATGGAAATTCCCTATCAAGGATACAAAACAACTTTTAAGCTAAAAATAGTTTTATATGTGCTGTGTATCCGTCAAAGAATGCCACTGCTCGTGTCTGTGATCAGGAAACTTGATGCAGTCCATCCAGTGCTTCAATCTCCGGCCTTTGCTGCTGGCTCCTAACACCAGGCTGCCGAGGAAGTCGTTAGGCTTGCCATAGTCCTTGTCCCATACAGTCAAGGTCAAGTTCTGCCGGGATAGTTCGGTGGGCCGGGTCTCGAAAAGGAACTCCTCGTTCCATATCGGGTTGAGGTTCCGCCATTTGATGGAGGTCTTGTGCTTCTTGTGGTACGGGTCGGGGTCTAGATGCCTGGAAATGACAAAAGGATTTCGTGAGTAATAATCATACTACATGAAAACTACAAATACATAGGTAGGACGTACAAATAAATTATTTTAGTAGGCATTTATTGTGGCGTTTTAAGAACTTAATAGGTACCATTTAAGTAACTATACTAACTATAGTAATTTTATGCCACGGGACTCTCTCGTTTCCACCGCTGCAGGTTCTGTGTAGCCAGGATCTACAGCTTCTCCAAAGCTAAGGTGCGTCTAATTGAATTCCATCGACTTCAATCATAGAATTTCCAAAAAAGCTACTCACAACTTGACAAAAGGATCAGAATATCCATTGCTATCTTGCGGCGGGAGGTCAGCGCCCCTGCAGACCGTCACCACCAGCGCTCGTCGCTTGGTGTTGTAGCACAGCGCCAGTAATACCCTGGGTCCTGTCGGCTCTGACCCGGAGGACCCTGAGAGTGCTAAGCGAAGCTGTGCCGGGGACTTCGCGCATTCCCTCAGGGCAACTGTAGCGGAGCCCATCTCGTCGCAGCCGTACCTGGTCAAAGCACAGAATACAAGTTTCATTTCAGAAAACTGATGACTTCAGTGGAACGTACAATAGGTAATATATCTTTACTTCTTTAAATAAAGTGGTTTTTGTGCTGTAATTCAGGTAGCAGGTTTAAACCTCACCTGTGTGTAAATTAATAGAATTTCCTAAGTATTTATGCATATTCTAGGATAGTAAATATTTGTGTAGTAAATACTTAAATAGATGAATTAAGTACTGGTTATTGCATACTACACAACAGCACATAAATTAAATAAAAAAAATATACAAAATCGAAACTGCACAATTTAGGCGAACTTTGGCTAGAAAGCGATCTTTTCCAAAAAACTTAAGTAGGTACTAACTAACTTTTAATTACTTAATTTAGGTACCTACGTGACATTTTGCCACATCTTTTCTATTTATTTTCCTGTGTTTATTTACCTGTCATCGTCGAAGAGAACGATCTCCAGAGATTTGACCGAGAGATCTGATTCCGTGATGCCGAAGAAGTGCAGAGTTTCATTGAATTCAGGGTTCTTCGTCTTGTGGACTGTTTTGGTTCGGAGTCTGTTGGAGTATGTTCCCTCTAAAATAAGTCAAATAATACAAGATTTAGGAATCTACACCCAATATAACTAAAAAAGGAAGAAGTGCACAATAAATTTTTCGTTTAAATATTATGACTGATCACTCTGTATTTAAAGGGGAACCGCTTTCGTTTCCAAAAAAGTTTAAGGTCGTTAATTGTTTATGAAGGTACCTACTTACTCTGTACTCAGTTAATTAAAACACTTTTGTAATAGGTGTTTAAAACTTACCTCGAGGTAAAATTTCTAATCGGCAAAAGGGATCCGAGAGTCCAGTCATGTCCATGCCTATAAGTCCCCTGGCTCTCAATACTGTGACAGCCAATGAGGAGGTTGCATTCTCATAAGCCAGCTTTATTTCCAGAGTGCCAAAACCCGCATCTGGTATCGTGGGGGGCCTTTCGTTTTGGGTGGTGTTTTTCGGGATCTCCTTTCGTATGCTCCTGAGACTGTACGCGCTTCCTTTGCTGCCTGTGCGCTTGAGGCCGGCTAGGGGGCGCTGGTTGAGGCTGTCAGTCCTGTGGAGACTCAGTCCGCTGAACCCGTGGGATAGGATGTCGGTTTCGGACCATTCGTAGTGTGTGTCCTGTAAAGAAGAGAGGTAGAATTGAAAACACTGCAGGGCAAGGGCTGAGGCTCGCAGGTTTTCTAACCCTGGCCTATTACTTAAATAGGGGGCCACCTACGATACTCTTTCGCATTAACGACAATTTTTGACTTTGACTTAGCTAGCCCTTCAATCCACGGGGCCCTGGGCTGAAGCCCAAAAAGATATATGTATCTATGGTATATCCGGTCCTGAACACACCTAGGTAGGTATATACTTACAAAACTTAGGTACGTGATAGATAGGGAAATACTTTATTGTACACCACGCAAAGTAAGAAAAGAAAGAAATACACAAAAGAGACGGCTGAACTTATGCAGTCTTATGGCTTTGAAGCGATCTCTTCCAGAGTCTGGATTCCAGACACCTAGGGAGAGTACAGGTATTGAGTTACGGATCTAATTGCAAGTAGTAATGACTGTAGGTTCTTATTTTTAAAAAATACATGTTTTAATTATCATCGCCGTCGAACCTTTTCTAACACACAAAGCTAAATACGTGTCCCCTACGCAACAGAACAAAAATAAAAGTGCCAATAAAATCCAATTGAGCACTTTTTATGTCACTCAATAAATGGTTGATATCAATGGGGTGTTTATGAAATACTCGATGGGTTGGAAATATTGGAATCGTTTCGGTGTAGGTAATGGTGTTTACAGCCCGACTGAAGCTTTACGATAATTTTTTAACCGTATTTCGATGTTGATAGACAAACCAACATTTGCTAAAGAATAAAATATTTTTGATCGCTTTGCGGTACCTACTTACGTACTCTACTTACCATAAGTCCTTATAGGCCAAGCTAGGTGATGAACTACTAATCTAATGCCCGTTTTCACCATCAATCCCTTATTTTTAAGTGACCCCTATGAAAACAAAATTCCTATTATGTTACCTTAGGGGTCACTTAAAAATTAGGGATTGATGGTGAAAACGGGCATAAGCCACTCCAAGCTTTAGAGTACTAAGTAGTGGTGGGAACTAGAAGCCTAGGATTAGCTCCGTAATGTTGACATTAATCTTACGTTGGGTACGGATGCTTATTTCAATTTCAAACACTTCTTACGATTTGCCGATAGAAGGAAACATAATATATCCTATTAGGATAACTGCCACTAATAGCACGAGTAATATCGAGAGAGAAAATAATAACTTAAATCGACATGTTTCAAAAAGTTATTAGCGTGCTCTTTACACTTCCTTAAGTAATCCTTTTAGTAACAGTAATTGATATGGTAATTAGGCATCGTATAGTGAAAAAGTTAGCCATCAAACTTAATGAAAGTAATTCTAAGTTTCATAACTTCTTTACATTACATACTGTAACTTTACATTAAGTAGGTATATTATAAACCCTTGCATATTAATAAATGCACCCTTTTCCCTTGCGCTATTTGCGTCAAACACAGGACAAGACAACCTTGGCCTGGTTATCCCACTGAAATGAGACTGGTGTGAAAGGCAATGCATTTTTAATTTCTATTTAAGTAGCATGGCTTTTTTATCGTCGTCACTTTAATGGAAAAATATTTATTTATAGTTAAAGCTTAGGCGCATGATNCGCATGATTACAGTGTGTTTAAAGTAGGGGTTCCCGAAGTAAATTATTTTTAGCGCCACCAATTTGTAGTAGAGAGTCGAGAGCTTAGTCGGTGTCTAATGTCCGTTTTCACCATCAATCCCTAATTTTTAAGTGACCCCTATGGTAACACATAACAGGAATTTGGTTTTCATAGTGGTCACATAAAAATTAGGGATTGATGGTGAAAACGGGCATAAGTGTCCTCCTAGTAAGTATAGTTCTTACTCACGAAGGCGAGTGAAATTACAAAGTAGGTACTTGGGGAAGTACTTTTTACGCCAATTTGTAGTTGAAAAAACATAACCCTTCTTCTAGCGCAGTCGGGTAATTAAAAATCGCCCGCCAAAAGCCCCTACACACCGCTGCACCGTGCACCGTTCCGATCTTTTACCGTGTCTTATCGGCGTTATCGCCCACTTTGGGAAAATCTGATTTAGAGTGATTAATGTTGAGAAACTTTAGAAAACTTAATTTCTTCGAACCTAAAGGTTATTTAGTTACCAGTATGTAGGGCAAACCACGTGTCAATTTCAGGTCGGTTATATTATGTAGTTACACTGAAACTACAAACAATTGAAACTTAGATTCAAAGGTGTGTTTGGTTAATTATTAATTGAACTACTAGTACGTTAATTTGGTTCAAGTTTGATTTTAGTGGACTATAATATCAGTTAGTGTTAAGTCTATTCCTGAATTGACCCATAAATTGTACTGGGACGTGAAAAAGTGCTTTTTAAAAGCCTATTTGCATAAATAAATGACTTATGAGCTTTGTATAATTTTTAAACACGACAACATATTTGTAATTTTTTTCAATCAATTTTTTTAGTTTAGCTAATTAACCATTCCAAGCAAAATTTCTATCATTAAGTAAGGTTATTAACGAACAGGAAACGCGGATGTCCGATCCAGTAATTCCAATAAAATATCATTTTTACACGTGTACCTAACAAAACAACATCCGCTCTTCTAATAGGATAGGTAACCACTTACGTAAACATAGGTATTAAATGTTTCGATAAACATAAGTAGACGTTTCCAAAAACTTGAGAAATAGCTAGGTATACTTAATATGTATTCATCTAATAATTCGATTTTCCATTGAATATAAGTAGGCTATTATATTACAAAAAATACGTCGTCTATACTACGATTATAAAGAGGAAAGGTTTGATCCATAATAAGATTCAAGATTTTTTCACAGTACCGACAGTCGACATCACATCAGACTTTACATTTTTGTTGCAAGTTGCTAAATAGCACTTATTGCAATGAAATAAGACGCCCCTGTCTTTGAGATAATTATGCTATCATTCTACTTATGAAGTTCTCAAGCAAACAAAGTGGGTAGCTAGTTCTCAGAAGGTTGAGCCAATGTTTTAAGGCATAAGTAGTCTGCCAGAAGAGAAAAGTTAGTAAAGCACATAATATTTCATTCTAGCGACTCGCCCCTGCTTCGCACTGGTACCTAAAATACTTAAAAACCTTCCTCATGAATCACTCTCTCAGATCATAGAAGGGAAGATCACTCTCTAATAAAAAAAACCGCATCAAAATCCGTTGCGTAGTTTTAAAGATTTAAGCTTATACATACATATAAGGACTTATTGTAATTTGTTAAAACTTATAAACTATGACAGTGATGATGCCCGAAGTGACAAATTAATTTTTGAACGCAATATCATCACCAGATATGCATTGTATGATGGCGTACGAAACTTATTTCTACGATCTGAAACTCCATAAAAGTACTAGAATGGTCATTAACAGATCCCCTCGAGACGGCCTCAATTAGGCGAGAATCAATACCCTGGAGCATCCCCCTTCCCATCAAGCACCATGGGGCCATTAGCTAAAGGGAACAAGACCGGACACTTTGTTCATAAACATTGTTAAGAGAAAATTAAGCTCTATTCTTCTAGTGTATCCGTGAATCCGTGAAGGGAAATTGAATCTTAACTTGGAACTCTATGTTCTTCTGATTAATTAAAGTTGCGGGTCCAATGACAGTTTAACTTTCCCCCGGGATAAAGACCTTCACTGGTTGGGTTTTTTATCGGTCAAGCTGTAGATCCTGGCTAAACAGGAGTTGCAACAGTGGAAACGAGAGGTGGGATAAATTCTGGATTTTACGGTAACGAGAGGTTTGAATAGTTCTGGATTGTATCCATGACACTAGGGCAGGGGACAAAAGAAGCAACATTTTGCGAAACATATCGCTGACCAACTAATGTGATGGTCCCGGATTGCTGTTACCTATAGAAACCGTCACGAAACATGTCCCGGGTCACGTGGAATATTGCGTGAAACACTGAGGGACAGTTCGGGGCAGTTTTGGAACGTTGCTATTAAACGCGTAGTTGCTAAGTTGCACGGGACATTTTGTCCCATAGTAGGTATTCACGTGGCGTAATCGTAACAATTTATTACGTCTAGCTATTCTATCTACCTATTTCACTTAACAAATTAAAAAGGGTACTTAGGATAAAGGCAACAGTTTATAATATTCCGGGAAACTCGTGGAAAGTATGAAAAAGATTTTATCAATTCAATAGAATTTTTCGTTTCAAGTTGAGACTAAGCCTGGGTACGTTTGAGAGATTAAATTTCACTTTTGTTCTTCTAAGTAATTATGTTGTTTTTATGGTGGACAATAAAGAGAAATAGAGTATTTATAAGTATATTCTCATTATTTTAAAGGGAATTTTAATGGCCGTTGGATTATTATATGAAGATTAGCGGCCGCCCGCGACTTCGTACGAGTGGATCCCGTTTTACCCCTTTAGGGGTGGACTTTCGTAAAATCCTTTCTTAGCGGAAGCCTACGTCATAACATCTACCAGCATGCCAAATTTCAGCCCGATCCGTCCAGTGGTTTGGTCTGTGCGTTGATAGATTACTATGTCAGTCAGTCAGTCAGTCAGTCAGTCACCTTTGAGTTTTATATATTTAGATTTCATGGGGAGTCCAGTTCCGATGACTTTTCGTAATGGGGTCGTAATGACGCATGGGTAGGCTGGCCATCATCGCACGAGTTGTCTTAGAATAAACACGAACTGCATTTTCAGAATCATCTATGTATACTTTGTGTCCTATTTGTGAGGTGTAATAGTGTCCTGAAAAGAGCCTATTGGAGGAATCAGGAAATAATTTGTATTTCAGATTCGTCATTAAAGTTACAGTAAGGGCTCGGTCTCAGAAAGACGTCCCGTTTTTTGCAGGTTTCTTGTTATCTTGTTTTAATATTTAACTAAAATTCAGGTGCACGAACAAGAACATCCTGTTTGTGTTTTCAGTGTCCCGCAAAAACCGAACCGTTCGAATGGAATTCGAATTTCAAACTCACACTCAACTGTTTGAAGAGGCATTTTAAAAGCTCGCTATTTTTTATTATCCG